AATAAGATATATATTATACATATATATATATATATATATATATATATATAGGTATAATATATATCTTATTATTACGAAATCCGTGTCAAATTGGTACAGTTGAAACTTTGAGGAACCTTCAAAGACGTTTTTATTATTATTTTGTTTTTTCTTTTCTAGATAGGTATTTTTGCTATAAAAGAAATAAATGCACTATATTATAAATGAAGTTATAAACTAAAAAAATAAAAAACACAATGTTAAGTAACAGTTAAATTTATTATTCTCGACAAGCCAGACGCAATATGAACGATTCTCGTTTTATAATATTATAACGACGCGTTGTCCGTATAATAATTTCTTGATCTAAAATTCAATATTTCATGTTCTTCGCGCAATACTATCAGAAATTCGAATTTAAGCTTCATTTACGTGCAACATTTATAAATAGAGTGAATGTTTTTCCAAATAAATGGTATCAGTATATTATTATAGACTTCGACGGTAAATTTCAATTATTTTTTTCGTCGCACGGTCGCGTCCATCGTGAATTATTTTTTTATTGAGACGTTAACAACCGTGGTTATAGATATATACAATTCGTTATATACAATACAGGATCGTGATAATAATTTATTTAGTGACAACGGTCAGCCACTCGTTATGATGTGCAGTCTACATTGAGAACCGTGCATGCGCGTCTTCATATTTTATGTGTATCTGTGTGTGTGTGTGTAAATTTATGTAAATTTGGAACACATTTAACACATGGAGATAGCAGCGGCTCAAAAACATGACTTACGGGAAAAACTCTCAAGCTTTGTCAGCGGTGAATCTTCAATATTTTCTGTTAAGGGTTCTGAAAATCATATACTTTTTAGACGACTATATATCGATGTTTGAGGGACGTGGCTCAGACTTCTGGACTCTCTTGTAAATCCACCACTGTAGCTTTGTAGAGTGGTCCGATTTCGCTGGTTATTATTTTTTTTATTGGAAACAGAATGACTTCCTACAGACCGCGTCGAATTCTTTTTTTCAATATTTCCTTCTCAAATTTTATAATACGTTTTAAAAAAGGTCAATTTTGATCTTGTTTTACTTTTTTTCCTTTATAATTATTTGAAATCAAATGAAAAATCGGAGTTCAATGCGATCTGTGAACTTTTTTTGTTTATGCACTAAACAAATTAAAATGGTAGGTATTTTACTAAAGTATTTTTAGACTAAGGTGAAAAGTTGAGAAGGTAATAGAGGAGAAAATTTAATATCTGTAAGCAGCGATGAATCATTGCTATAACGAAAAACGATTCTGAGCGGAATTCAGTTGATATTGTTGCTTTGTCAATAATGAAATAGGTAGAATATGTCATATTATAGTAAAATAATTACATACCTAGGCATTACATATTTTCTTTAATAATATTTGTTTATTGTACCTATTATCTTGTTTTTCCTACGTTTTTTTCCATTTATTAGGAAAACTCCTGAGAAAATCAAAAAATGATTTTCCTTAAGTACCACTCCAATCAGATTTCCTTTCAGAAAAAGTGCTATCATTGTAAATTGGAGTAAGATTTCTGGTAGAAAAAATGTCCACAGAAAAAAAAAATAAACATCTTTGTAAACTCCACTTAGAATCTAAGATATAATGTATAATACATAATAGTTGTTATATATTTAAGCAATTAGTGATTGGCTCGAAAGTAAAATAGGTAAGGTTAGAGGGTATATTCTTTCCCGCATATGCCACTGAATAGTATTATACATGACCATTTTTTTTTACGGTAGACGAACTATGACCGCGACGACATCGCGCTTATTTTTTTCCTGCAATATAAACCACAAGTGAATAAATGTCTAAATTATTATTATGAAAGGTACATTAGCTTATGTGTGTTCATTTCTGTGTATCAATGTTGAAAAAGAATTACTTTATAGTATTAATATGATATCACGGATTATAAAAGTAAGTATTTATTTTCTATTATGTATTTACTAACTTTATCAAAAAAATTGTTGCTAATAACATTAAATGGTGTTTCAAATGTTTAGGTAGATAGAAAACTTTTAAAAGTTGATGCATCTATTCTCGATGCAGAAATTTTAAAAAAACAAAAATAGTTGCATATTCAATTTATTAATGTCTTGAGTATTATGTTTGCCAAATCAATGGTTTTCTTATTTATTTTAATATTTGTACCTACATAAATAAATATAAATATTCCTATACTTCTATGGTTCTGGTTATGGGTTGTATGTTCCCTCATAGAGTTCTGAAATATATTCCCTCCATCTTGTTAGTATTTCTCCATTTTCTGTTATATTGTTCCCATATTTGTCCTTCATTGTGGGAACGATATAACAGAAAATGGAAAAATACTAACAAGATGGAGGAAATATATTTCAGAGAAATGGAGTTTTTGCTTTTCTATGTTTATTTTTCTTTATGAATTTTCTGACAATGCCGAGGCCTAAGAACATAAAGTGATATAATATGATAACATAAACAATAATGAATAATAACAGCAATCAAATACCCAGTTGATAAAATAGTTTATAGGTAGTTAAATTGAGGTATTCATTAGCAACTAAAACTAGCATAATACGATAGAGGTGGGAGTTAAGTTTATAATTACAAGAGTTAAAGGGAATAAAAAAAGGGACAAGTAGATTTAGTAATACGAGGGAGACTATAAGATTGACTTCTGATAGTCAATTGAATTCGATAAAAGTTAAGAAAGAAATGATACCCTTGTCGCTGGCGTCCGCAACAAAAACCGCGTTTTTCAAAGATTAGAAGAATTATACAAATGTCGAGGTTGTTATTACGAATTTGTACAAATTATATAACAAATTTTCGTACCGGTTTCGAGTAGTATTTTTGACCTGCGGACGCCAGCGACATGCAGCTTCACATTGTCCATACGCCACTGCACGCAAAGCCTTGGTTCTAGAACTGTCAGCTAAGTACATAGAAGGGGCGGGCAGGGTCCCACGCCCTAGGCTTCGTGCATGTTATTTAGATTTGAAGGCGTCGCGTTCGAAAAAATATACGAACTAAAATATTATAGTAAAATATGGATATTTTTTGATACGCTTATAAATAGCATAATTAAATAATTTTGTTTTGTTCATCACAAGCCCTGGCCCTCGCAAATCTTAACGATGGGCCAGATATAATGGGTATAATCGGGTATCGAAAACAAAACTAAATCATTAGTTTAAACGGAAGTGATTACAACTAAAATTCATCCGCGCCGCGACGAATTATTACTTAACAAAATAAATCACTTCCGTGAAAGCGGGATGTATATCTAAATCAGGTTTTGTTCCTGAATAGGTAATGATACCGACAATTTCCTATAGAAACATAATCGCCATTTTTCGTTATTTTTACACGACTTTTTAGAAATTCTGAATATATATATTACCATTGTTCGCTCAAGTATTTAATAACGGCGCGCCGTTTAGATAACTATACACATTTCAAATCACCGGATAAAACTTTTTGACGGTTTGTTATGAAGGTGGAAAATACGTTTACACATCGTAAACGTCAATGCAATTTGTACGCTTNGATAATTAAGGGCGGTACGTCAGTACACTATAATATTACTATATTACATATTGTTAAACTATCAGTGGTTAATAATTATTATACATCAATCTGACAATAAACGTTTTGCGCGCACATTCAAATTACTAAGAAATACCTACGTATGCTGTCTGACACGCCCTTTTTAATCATGAATACATATCACTTTAGAATCTACGTACCTAAGACCAAACAATGCAATTCGGATACTCGGTCCATTATGTCAGTGGTGCGAAACATTTTTTGTGAATTCAATATTCAATTAAAAATAAAATAGAATTTAAAAAAATACAAACAGTTATTGATAGCCAAGTAGGCACCTACTAAATATGTACTTACAATAAATTAAGTTCCATAAAATAATAATAACGAGGTATTATTGACATCATTAGTGGAACACTTACATAATTTAAAAGACAGTCGTAATCCGGGGCTTCACCCAGAAATGTCATACGAAAATTATAGATTCTGAGTGGAGCGACGAATGTATTAGTTTTACAATGTTTATTTTTTTTTTCTGTGAATAATGTTTTTACACTAATTTTCCTTCGATTTAAAATCATAGAATATTTTCTGAAAGAAAATCTGACTGGGGTGGTACTTTGGGGAGGTCATTTTTTGTTTTCCAATATCTGTACGAACTTGAAATTTGGACAGAAAACTTATATTTGTCTTTTTTAATGTTTAAATATGTGTAAAAGAAACACATTTTACAAGTTTTTTCTCTTATGAATTTCCTGAAAGTTATAAGATGCAAAAAATTTTATTTAAGTGAATCATATTGTCTTAACTATTAATGTAATATGACCATTGTATGCTGTACAGTGTGAACTTAAATTTTTATAATATTGTTTATTCATCAAACCCTAAAACTCCCTCCCTCCATTCCAAAAAAATCCCGACTATGGCACTGCTAAATTAATAATATTTTTCAAAATTTAATATAACTGTATTCTGCAAATATTCTTCATGTTATACTATACTAGGAAGTTTGGTAAATATAAAAATAAATAGACGTACATACTTTACATATGGGTGCAGTCATTGCTGTAGGTGGAAAGTTGGGAAGATAGGATACAGACAGGAATTTAATGACAAGAATCTGTCAGCAACGATAAACAATTACTAACTAAAAAAGTAATTCTGAGCGGAGTTCAGTTGACAGTATTTCTTTGTCAACAATATATTATGGGTAAAATAATTTCATATGCATTAAACATTTAATTTAATATTGTACCTATTCTCCTGTTTTTTTTTTTTTTAATATACAGAGAAAACTTCTTAGAAAATCAAAAAGTAACCTATGTAATGTACCTCCCTAGTCAAATTTCCTTTCAGAAAAAATGTTATCATTGGAGCAGAATTTCTGGTAGAATTTTGTTCTTAAATAAAAAATTTTTAAAAAAACCATTGTAAAACTATAAGCTTTTTCATTCTACTCAGAATCTAAAATTATAAAAACTAATGTCTATGATCTGCGGAAAATAATAAAAAGATTTATGGTTAAAATTAAACTATGTTTACTTTATATTTTAATGAATACTTTATCAATCTTCTTTACAAGCAAAAATAATTTTTTTCTTTTCATAAGAATGAAAAAAAGACTAAAAAAATATATATTTACAATCACTTATAATATAATTAAAGATTTTTTGAACTTTAAGAACAAAAAAGTACCACAAGGCGGAAATGTATACAGATGTTACAGATCCATATACATTGTTATACTATTACACAAGTGTTCTTCATCATCACTGTTATCGTCGTCATCATCATTATCATCATCTTCTTTTTGGTTTAATTCAGCTTTTTGAGAAAGCGACAACATTTGCAACTGTTTAGGTATTTCCCTATCATAATCCGCAGTCTTAGACTGTTTATCACTGTTTATCGACACCCACATTGTTTGATCTACCTCAACATGTAATCTTTCGTGAACAATAGTTTTTAACAGCGCCTTAGCTTCTTCTTTGGTTTCCGTGTAGTTTAAACATTTTTGAGCGTAGTGAAACGCCTGATCGTAATTTAAACGAGCCAGATAGTAGTTTGCGAGAAACATGTAAGCATAACTGTGATCACGTGTTTGTTCATCTAGCCCATGTTCTTCAATATATTCTAAAAACATTTTTGCAGCATCGTCTGGTCTATGTATTACTACGTACAATCTAAAATATCATAATTTTTTTAATATGTATAAAACAATTTACAAAAAATATTTTAACTCACTTTGCCAAGTATATGAGTCCAAGTTTTTCATCGTCCCCCATTGCTCGTCCTTTTAAATAGCTCTGAAATGCCATATCCATGTTGCCCAATTTCTCATACACATTACCGACGGCTATTATCATACGACTATCAAAAGGTCTCAGCAGTTGAGCTTGCTTAAAAAAATGAAGGCTGTGTTTGAACATACCCAGAATTTCAAAGGTTTGACCCAAACCGTACCATGCTCTATACTCATATTTATTTATTTCTAAACCAATCAAAAACAGGGATATTAATCTAAGGATTTAATAGTTAAGATATTTATTATTGGCACATACCCAAAGCTTTACTGTAACTCTGTATAGCATCATTAGAATTTTTAAGTTCCATGTATTCTTGGCCGAGCAGCGTCCAAGCAGCCAAACACAAAGGATTTAATTTCAGAGCCCGATGGAAGTAACGCATTGCTTTTTGATGTTCACCGTGAAGACTAAAGTAGTTTCCAAGTATACAACAGGTTTCTACACGATATTTATCAATTTTCATAGCACGCTGAGCAAGATAGGCTAGTTCCACTCGCTGATGTTGCACATACAATAAATGTGAGTAAGTGTCCATATTTTCTAGTCGACATGGTTCGATTTCAATGAGTTCTTGGAACTTTTGTATTCCTATTTCAATGTCTATAACGCATTTGAATTATAATTATTATTAATAAAAATCATAGTGTACAATAATATTATATTTTACTGACATCTTTTATTGTGGTAACAAACAGCTATCCTAGAAAGAAGAAATATGCTATCGGCGAAACCACAATTAATCAAATACTGTGCCACACCTAACATTTGTTCATTTAGCTGTAAATCCAAATATTTTTGGCAATAAAAAAAATTTTTTATCCAGTGATTGGGTAATTCCAATTTTGATAACTGTAATAATTAATGAATTTATTATGTTAGTGTATCCACTTATATAAAAAAATGTGTTTTATTATCTTAAAATTTGATTTACTTACCTTTATTCTATCTACAATGAGGTCTCCAAGTTGCATCCAAGCGTGCCAATTGAGTGGTACTTTTTCTATGGATTCCAGAAGTGTTTCAACTGCTACTTCGTACTGTTCTAATTTAACAGATACAATACCAAGTAAATATAATAAATACCCATCTGCTTTATTTTCCTGTTTTAAAGTTGTCAGTTCCATAGATAGTTTATCTAAACTACATTGATAATCGTCAAACATAGAAGATGTTGCTTCACTACCAATATTTTTAATATTACTGTCAGCAGCTAAATAGTCTGAATAATATCTTAGAAACAACGGTATTTTCGAATGACAATTTTTCAACCAAAATGATGCTCTGAAAAAGATCTCAGGAACATGATTAGTAGGCACCTATTGTAAAATGATTGGATTTAAATACCTTTGATATTCTTTGAGGTTGAAACAGGCTCTGGCATGAATATATTGTTCCATTTCATTAAAAGGTATTGACATTTGATCAACAGAATATTTTATGTCTGTAGATTTAACGGGCGTAACACGTTTGGGTACTTTTCCGAGGTTAAATTTTGGTCTTTTGTAACCCTCTATTTTTTTTGGCAAAGGTTTTGGACTATTTCCGACCTCTAATGACAACAGAAGATCTGAAGACCTGATGGTGACAAAAAACCTTAATAGTTTTTACAAAAGTAAATGATAAAATTTATATTGAAATACATACCATTGGAAACTTGTTTTGAGTCCTCTAGCGAGAAGTTCGTTCATGTTGTATAGTAGTTCTTTTTTTACGTCTTCTATTTTAGGCATCTTACTGCCTAATTTTCCCACATCAATTTCCATAGCGTAGTTACTCATTTCCAAAAACAGCAAGAGTTATTTTCACTATATATCATTCAATTTATGACAATTCTCGAACAAGGTAATTATTTGTAAAATAAGGGAAACAAATTCATTTTTTTGAATTTTACAAATTTTTCAGTTTTCCTTTAAAGTACCTACTTGAATCCACAGTTACATAATATAGTCATATTATATATTCACTACGTGAAATTCTATTAAATATAATGTTACTTAATTACTTAAGACGGTTGAACCAAACGGCACATTTGATAGTCAGCGTTGGTCGGTAACAATATTGATAATTGATAAGCTAATCGGAAACACGGTTTACATTAATTATCAGAAATAAAACATTTATTTTAAACTTGACAATATTCTGTATTTCCGTTCTGAATATCACGGGGTTTGAGTTTTAAACAAAACGATGTGAAATAATTCGATATTATTAATCTCTTGTGAGTTTTACTTTTTCATGTTTAATGTGTATACAAAAATTCTAAAAACTTACTTGAACCGCCCGAACAATTCGTAAACGTGATAATATAATTACGCTTTACTTTTATTAAATTGTTTACTAAAATTAGTTAGATAGGTACATTCTTCTGAATTATAATATTTTTACTACACACAACGCACTTACCTGTATAATTTAGGGCTTGTAACTTATTGCACTTAAAATCCACAAAAAAACCCCTTAAAAATGTCAAAAAAGTTCTGAAAAAATCAAAAACTTAGAGGAATTTAAATGTTCTCCCGCTAACGGATTTCATTTATCAAATATTTTCTAACGCTGCACGAACTATTAAATGAGTTATTTTTTTTATAATACGTCCAATTTTGTTTGAATAAAATAGCTTATTGTCAATAATTTGTCTAGTGTTAAAAAAAAAATATATATATTTAATATTTTAGAGTCATTATATGGGGGATCTTCAAACCCTTTTACCATTTGGTCTAATAATATTTGCTTGAAGCGCTTTTGTTCCAGGCTTTTTTTAACGTTTTTAATTGCTCTTTTTGTTGATTCTAAGTACAATAAGTCCTGAGCCCTAATTATTATTATTGTATACAGATTTATGACGCATAACATTATTAATTTTTAAAGTGAGTGATTGTGAAATCCGCTAGAATACCGGTTAGAATATTAAAAAAGTATATTTTGTTTTTTTTATTGTAAATTCATACTATTATGAAAATAAAATATAAATGGTTATTTTCAAAAATGTAGACAAAGCAGATAATGTTTTTTGTCGTTAAAAGTTAATGAAAAAATCAAAAATTACTAAAATATGAACCAAATATGTACTTATTTACCGAAAATGTAAAATTAATTTGGGCTTATTTTAATTAAAATGATATAAATCACAAGCAATTTTTTTCAGATTACAAATCTCATTTCAATAAAAATTTGTATTTACAATAAAATTTGTTACCTAATTATTAATATATTACTTACCCAAGTTATACATCTACAGCCACCTAACACATTTTTACAAATATAAGTCTTCATTTTGTATTATTATCTTGTACTTATGTTAAAATTGAGATAAATGAGGCTGTATTAAAGAAGTCCAAGGAGTGATTATAAAAATAAATAAATCAGCATTAGTCACTTGTACAATAATTGTTTTTTTTTTTTTTTTCATAAATATATTTTATCACAAGTGCACCAATAATAGTTACTATATTAAAATGTAAAGTAAAAAAGCAATACCACTATAAAGTAGAACAATTGCAATATATAATAAGTTATTTATAAAAATAAATAATTCGTTGTTCTGATTTTTCAATTTTAAGTGTATAACAGTAGTTACTATTCTGGCACACTGTTTAATACTAAAAATAAATAATTAATATATACTAGTTATTAAAAATAATATATAATTTTAATATATATTAGATATTTCTAATATAAAATCGTACAAAATAGTAGTAAAACTGTTAACTATACTTAAATGAATTTCTTTGGTGGTAGATTGCCTACATAATATACAGAATAGTGCTTATAATCAATTAAATAGATCATATCATTGGTAATATATAATATTATATAGTATTACACAAAAATATATTTATTTGTATAAGACAGAATGAATGCCAATTGACTAAAAATGATCTAATTTTGTGTGTGTATTGGTAAGTATGTGTAAACTATTCTGTAATAAAAATTTTTAGTTATCACATCAGAGAATGATTAAAGCCATTAATTGGTTGTGCTAAGTTCAATTGATGAAGTACCATAAGTCACTTATCTAGTTTCTCTGCCAGCCAATTTATCAATATAATCTTGTAATGGAGCCAATTCTCTTCGGTCGATCAGTACAAATTCCTGCAAAAACAAAATTATGATAATAAAATTAATATATGTGGAATAACAATAAAATATTACAAATATTTATGGATACAATATATCTCAAAACAATAAGGCATAAATGTAAACATTGTAAACTAATTATCTCATATTAAAACAAAATATTTAATTAACTACTATAAAAACAGAGATAAAAATTATTATTTATTTTTTAAATATATTAATTTATCAAATACTAATACATATTAAGCCTGGTACACACTTGAATATTTTGTTTTAACAAAACATTGTATCATAACGCTGTCGTATTACTGCAACATCTGTGTGAAAATGTTTGCGTAACACCAACACGTAATAAACGGGTATAACAAAGTGATATGCTATGGAGTTACACCACGTCTCATCAGGTGTCGGTAAAGTTTGTCCGCATCAAAGGATGTTGCAATGCAATGCTAGAATAGTGTGGACATGTTTTTACAAGTTTGAAATATAAAATCGCAACACAAAATATATCTATTACTTTATTTATGTGACTGGGAAATTCGGTTGTGTGCATAGTTCACTTGACAACTGATGAAATGCGGAATAACAACCATTAGTAACATTGCAACAAAAATGTGCTTTTGCTTGGTCATAACATCAATGTGTAACGTAAAAATACACAACGATGTTCCATGATACATGGTTTGCATGAATGTTACAAAAAAATGCTCAAGTGTGTACACACTTTTAAGTGCAATGAGATTTTATATGAATTTACTAACAACCATTAAATTACTTACCTGTACAAAATAAATAAAATGTTTAAAAGATGTATTGAGATGTGCTTCTTCACCTAATGAAACTATAGAGTCAAAATGTGTGTGATATATATGTGCATACACCCTGAATAACCGTTTAAGTATTGTCTTAGCAATGGATAAGAAATTCTTAGGAAAAGGGACACCGATTTTTGAGGGAAATAATGTTTCATCGTCTAACTGATCCTGAACCCAAGTCATTAAATAATCAATATATTTAGGAGCGGAACACTTGATAGGTTTTTTAACAGTAAGACCGTCTGCCCAGTGATATTCATATTTTGGTCCAGCAGACATTATAGAACAACTTTCCTCTGTGCAGAACTCTGTTATTGTGCCGTATAACATGTTTATTTGATTAAAAAAATCAACGGCTGAAACAAAATAAAATATACAAATTTGATGTGATAATATGTGAAAATAAATTTTATTTGATAATAAATATTTATAAATAAATATGTATGTGTTGAATTTTAAAAAACTAAGACAACCCATGAATATTATTAAGATCTATAATATTATTATGGTTATTTTATTTCAGTAGCTTAATCAGTAGTAATTTTCAATGCAATATGAATATAATTGTCAAAAATTGAAATTAAAAAAAAAACAACAGATTTTATAAGAAAATGTTTACATTTGCTGGCTATACTTTTGAAAATTAGTAATTAAATAAAAAAAAAATTTAATAAAGATAATGCTAAAATGTTAAAAATAAATAATATAAATAAATAATAGATATCAAGGTTATATTTAATTTAATAATAACAAGAATATATCAACAAAAATAAATAAAGTTAATCCACTTTGACAATTATCTATACTTTGGAACCATGTATCAATAATATGAGTAATATTTTGTTCTTGAAATATATAGATGTATATTATAATTACTTTGTTTTAAAACTATGATTTTATTAATTAACAAATTTTTAATATTATCAGATAATTTTAATTATTATTCACATTGCTTGATAATATTTATATAACATACTAGTAGTAAATTAATAAATAATAGCATAATCATCAAGTATCTGTGTGTACAAACTATTAATTATATTCCTTGGCTAAGGTTATGAAATCAGTATAGTTGTGTTTGAACTGAATACAAAATATTAGTTTATCATATTATATAATATTAACACATTTCTTGTATATGAACACAAGAGTTACATAAAAATTACTTTTGTAATAATTAAAATAATTAATTTTAAACAATGATTTCCTATTGTGAATATTTCAATACAAAAAATGTTTTTAATGTAAAAAATTCAATATTATTTCAACATGAAATACAAGAGAAATAAAAAAATGATGCTCTTTATAATAACAGCATTGACAACATTTATATGTGATTAGCATTAGTAATGATTATAGTTAATTAAAACCGAGTATTTTAATAATGATAATGTATACATTATAATAATAATAGGTAGATGCATAAAAAACAACGAACTCACAAAAAATAATATAAGAAATTTAATTTTACGACTTAATCATTTTAAATGTTGTATGAAAGCAATCAATTTATTTTTCTTTACTATCCTATTCTTTACAGACACCTCCAAATAACAGACAATTTTTGGGGAGTGGGGACATTTTCATCACTTTTATATAAGAAAGCCTCTAAATAACAGACACTTATATGGCAAATCAAAATCTTAAACAAGCTAAAGTAACTGATTTTTTCGATAAATGTTAATTTTTATTTATATTTTCATTAATATTTTTACATACATAATAATAACATAATTTTAAATAATAATATGTACAATTAATATTTATTTTGAAATAATGTAAATATACATATTATTTATATAAATGTTGAATATAGTTATTCATTTCTCAGAGTTTTCGAGAATTTGTTTCCCCTCTGAATAGCAGATAAAATTACAGTGACTGAGAGGAGTATCCAGTAATTAGAGGTTTCACTGTATTTAAATTTTAAACAAAACACAAGTTAGAGGTATCACCAAAATTGACTTGCTCATTATTATAATAACAAGACATAAGTAGATGTATGATTTGATTATGCTAGTCAAATATTAAATAATTTTAAATATGATTATTAAATTATCTAAAATTTAGTATGAACTGTATTTTTGTAAATATAAAAAATGAGTACTTTATGATTATTTTAGTTAATATATGAATCATAGATTTATTAGTCAGCAAATACTCCATATTAAATGAAATCAAAAAAAAAAAAAAAAAAAAAAAAAAAAAAACAAATAAACTACCAAAAACCTTTTAAAATTACACTTAAAAGATATTTATCCAGTTAAATAAAAAATATTTTATTTCAACAAATAATTTTAAAATTATATAGGTAGGTAGGTATTTATCATAATTAAATATAATAACTTTAAATTATTTTAAGTTACATGCCATTATAATGATTTAATCATTAAAAATTCTAAGTAAGATCGTAGATGAATTTGTATATACAATAGTAATGTAAATTATTCTAAGTATTAAAACATATTTATATAAACTATTTTTATGTATATTTTCTGCAAATATTAAAAAAAAAAAAAAATTAATAGGTATGTATACAGATCTGTTTTTACATAACCTACTGTCCTACTATAAGTAGTTACTTTGTTAAGAAAATATAATTACAATTTTAAATTTCCCTCAGTAGATAGAGAATATAGGTGTCTAAGAATTATATTGATAATTTGATATAGGTAGTTCATTGGACTTGATAATTATTTTAAAACCATACCATTTACAATTTAAATTAAATGTGATTACTTAAAATAAAAATAGTTAATTATAATATATTATAGTATGTCAGTAGATACTTATAAAACTGATTACAATTGATTTTTATTTTTGATGTTTTTATGCTGTCTATAAGATATTATATATTATTACTATAAAAAACTTGGAGGTACCTATATAAACAATATATCAATCACTTACTGTTCACGGCAACCCATTCGTTGAGATCTTCACCCTCAGGTAGTAATACAGCCAATCTTAAATTTCCAGACCCAAGAGTGGCTGCTGCGTGTTTCATCAAATCGTATTGATGTGTACCTTCTGGTATGTTCTTCTTTGGTTTGAATGTTTTCGATGAACGGCCTCCACTAAAAGAAAAACGACAGCCATAAAAATATAATACCGTATTATTAAGGATAGCTGTACGTAGAAAAATGTATAAAACACTCACAATAGGAAGCTCATTATGAATTAGTCTAGAACATAAACCAAAGCTGTATCTTGACAGATAGACAATAAGTGTGAAGAAAATTCTTAAATAATTATTAACAATACCCAACCAGAAAAAAATAAAATTGACTAACAATAAATATACTAAAAATGATTAATACAGTATTTCACGACAGGTAAATAGCATCGGTGGGAAAATAAAGTAAAATGTAAAACGATATTAACAAATAATTGATTTTTTATATATATTAAGTGCGATATAAATTTATTATAACTAATAATTATATATTGACTTGATTTGTGTTGATTTAGAAGTTGGTGGACCGGACTAGAATTATTGTTACTTTTTTTTTTACTCTGAAAAGTTGCGAAAACAAAAAAAATAAAAATAATAAATAATGTGTTAACTCGATCAGCTGTTTTCATGTTCCACGCGAGTTGATAACAGATAGATTTTTCCGTGTCATGGGAGGGGGTGTTAGATTCACATACAGAAAAAGTATAATTTTATTTTGTCTGCCCCATAATATTTTATCAATAAATAACAAAATGTTTACATGCACTGTAACGTAGTTTATCTTATTTATTTTTCTTATCATACGAAATAATAATTTCATAAACCTGTTGTGAATGAATTGAATTAATTTATAGTTATTGTTCATTGATCATTCAATTATTTAGTTATTATATAGCTCTAATATGTTATATACAGTAGGCATACATTTATTTCATCTACTTATTTTCCCGTAATTTGCTTTTTAGACAATCATGCTTTTTTAAAATTTAATATTTGATCCAACATGACATAAGATATTTAAACATTTTAAGGTAAGTCATCATAAAGTTTAAAAAAAAAAAAAGTATACCTATTGTTAACTTATTTCATAATTTTGATTGTGTTACCTATTCTATTGTAAAAATTTATTATTATTGAAAATTACACACAAAGTTTTGTTTACTGTTAATAAACAAATGTACTAAACAATTAGATAATTTTTATTAATATTATGATTTATAATCTGCTATTTTAAAAAAAATTATAATATTTTTTAAATTTATTTAAAATTAATTATTTTACTTTTTATACTATGTCCTTGTGACAATATGACCGCAGTGCTAGCTTCATAAATTGTTAATGGTTACCTAATTGACACACTCCAATTGGTGGACCAAACAAATTTATTTTATTCATTGATCTATTATATTAAGTTGTTAATTTTAATAAATATTTATGGTTGTGATGCAGATTCATTATTTTAAACATTTAATTGTAACAAAATTAATGAAATAGATTTATAATCAATTACCTAATACCTGTTAATAATTGATTCCTTAAAAATAAATATATGTATATAGGTATGTGTACATAAAACATTTTTAAGTAGGTAAATATTAACTATAACATAAATAATAAATATGAATTATAAAATTTAATTTTTTGCTGTTGGTCAAAGTATTACAGTTTAAAGGATAAAACTAATAATTACAGAAAAAATATAGGTAATTACCTATATTAGATAAAATATGTTTCATGATTAAATCTGTAGTTATATAAAAATAAAATTTTCTCAAGGATTAAAAATAAAGTCTTAATAAAAAAATGTATTCTACTGGTTTACCATTAAGAGTACACTACACATGCATTTATTGTCTCTATCTTACAAACATATGCCATAGCATTTAGTAGAACCAATTTTGTATTATTAGTTTTTAAATTATAATGAATTTACCTATTATCAAACTTAATGTAAGGAGCATTATCTGCGTTTTATATGATGGTTTGTTATTTTAATTTAGTAATTTAATTACATTAAATTAATTTAATAAAGATATGAGTTTTAAAATATCATAGTTTAAAAATACTTATATCTCGCTAGGAAATTAAAATATTTGTATAAATTAACTTACAATAACAGATAATGTTCCTATCTTGAAACTTGATAATAGGTCAATTTATTCTAACATTAAAAATAAAAGCACAGAATTGATTCAGTTAAATATAAATTTGCTATGTTACGCATTTGTAAGACAAAGACAACAAATGCATGCATAGTGGCCTCTAGTATCTGCCTACTTATTATATAAAATATATTTAATATATGCATTAATAATATATTATATTTAACATATATTTAAGTAAATCATTGTACTAAAAGGTTCGATAAATATCCTCCAATCTTATATTTAGAAAATGTCTGGCCCAAAACGAAGAGCTTTTAATACTATATAGTTTCCATTTATTTTTATATTTTAAGAACTGTGTAATTAAAATTAAATTAAATAATTTGTTTGTTACTTTCTTCTTTTTTTACTTTAACATGATATCGGCACATAGCTATTCATTTTAGTGATAAATTGATAAATTGTATTTTATACTTAATATGTTGTATGCTTGATTGATCTGTCAAAAAATACACATTTCACATCTACACCAGTGATATAGTTAATGAGTAGGTAGAGTATAAAATAAAATTTAAAAATGTTACGATTATTTTAAATACCAAAGTTTTTATAGTAAAATGATATGTTTTTATTTGTCTGTCAGGTGTTTGATATCTAACATCAATAATGAACAACCATTGTGACACTGGAGAAATTAATTGGTATCATGGAAAGATATCCAGGGATACAGCTGAAATTATTCTATTAGATCCCGAGATCAAAGCAGATGGTTTATTTTTGGTACGAGAAAGTAATTCTGCGTCTGGAGACTATGTGCTCTGTGTGTTACAAAACAATGAAGTAGTCCACTACCAAATACGACGGCACGGAGAAGACGCATTTTTCTCTATAGACGGACAGAATATAATGCATGGTTTGGAAACATTAATCGAACATTATTGTAAAGTAAATGATCCAAGTTTAGGGGTACAACTGTCTAAGCCTGTAATTAAAGATCCTCCACCACACGATACAAGAAGACACGGACGAACTAATTTATTGCATAGGGCTATTTCTCAAGCCAATTGCAAAGTTGTTACAGAATTGCTAAAATGTGGTTATCGAAATTTAGAAGCAAAAAATCAAGAAGGACAAACTGCATTGCATTTAGCCAGTCAAATGGGTCATGATCAAATTGTTGAGAAACTCATTTCTTGTGGTGCTAATGTAAATTGCAGGGATACAGAAGGATATACACCTTTACATTTTGCTTGTCAAAATAATTTATTGAGCACTGTTAAAATCCTTTTGACATTTGGAGGCGCAAATATTCAGTTAAGAAATTCGTCAACAGGATGGGTAGCTTTACATGAAGCATCAAGCTATGGCCACTTAGACATTGTGTCTTTGTTGTTATCCATGAACGCTCCATCAAGGCCACGCACTTTTGACGATCTCTTGCCCGCAGATTTAGCACATTCCAACGGACACACTGAAGTTGAACGCATATTAAATGAATTTGTTCCACCTACCCCGACTTCAAGAAAAGAACAGTGGTACCATGGTAAGCTTGATCGACATGAAGCTACAACAATATTGAAAACCAGAGATAATGATGGTTGTTTTTTAGTCAGAATGAACAGGCAAAATGGCTATGTTTTGTCTATGATGTGTACTAATCAGTGTTATCATTTTCAGATACAAAACCGCAACAAATATTATTTTATTGATAACGGGCCATACCTAGATTCGCTGGAACATTTAATTCAACATTATGCACTTTTTCCTGATGGTTTACCAAACAAATTAGAAGTACCCGTTTGTCCCGCAGTTATACCACCTCTTCCAAAAGGGTTTCCGTTTACATTAAGAAAGTCAAAGCCCAAGCAACTAATAGAATTTCAAGACAATATCACGAGAGACAATTTGATTTTGGATGAAGTGATAGGTGAAGGGGAGTTCGGTTCAGTTTATAAAGGTATCTATCAAAATCTTGAAGGTAATGAAGAGAAAGTTGCAATTAAAATGTTAAGATATGATATGTCATCAACCAATAAATTAGAATTTTTACGTGAAGCTCATGTCATGGCTAATTTAAACCATCCATGTATTATAAAACTAATAGGTATTTGTGAAGGACCACCCTTATTAATGGTTCAAGAGCTTGTTGTTCTTGGTTCTATGTTAACATATATTATAAAACATCCTGAACACATAAGTCCAAATTATGAGTTGAAAATGTGGGCTGCTCAAATAGCTTCAGGTATGTGTTATTTAGAAAATAAACGATTTGTTCATAGGGATTTGGCAGCTAGAAATATTCTTTTAGAAGATAGGCATCAGGCGAAAATTAGTGATTTTGGTCTATCACGTATGTTAAATGTTGATAAGGATTATTATAAAGCATCAAATGGTGGACGATGGCCAATTAAATGGTATGCGCCTGAGTCTTATAGCTATGGAACATTTTCTAGTGCTAGTGATGTGTGGAGTTATGGTGTTACATTATGGGAAATGTTCTCTTATGGACAGCGGCCATATGATGAAATGGAAGGTGTTCAAGTCATCAATATTTTGGAAAAAGGAGAAAGGTTAAAAAGAACACCAAGATGTCCTGAGGAAGTTTTTAAAACCATGGAAATGTGTTGGGCATATGAACCTAAAGAACGACCAACTTTCAGTCAACTATCTAAAATATTTGCATCCGATTCTGATTATGAGAATTTTAAAGATTTTATAAAACTGTAATACAACCATATTGAGAAAATGGAAATAAAATCATATTCCTATTAGTAATATTATTTATGATAAATTATATTATAAATTCATGAAATACTTTTTGTTTTATGAAAAAATTGAAAATCAAAAAGGCAATTCATGAATTGAACAAATTGTATCATTGTAAAATTATAATTGAGTTATTGTTTTAAATTTACTTCAAACCAAAAAAAAAAATTGGTCAACATTAACCAATATTACATAAAAAAAATATAAAGTCAAATGATCAATTGAGAAATAATTTTTTAAATTTGGTTGTTAATCATAGTATTTATTTTTTTTATTTTATAGTTTATATTATGTTTTATGTTAAATTTCGATATTTAATCCTGTTAAATTTATATAAGTTACAAAAAATATCATATTTTATTTTATTACATCACTGTTAAAATAAAATGTCAATTAAAATTATTAAGACATCAAACTGTTGTACCTTATGCGTATTCACTATTTTTATATAATTACAGAGAAATAATCATGATTTTATTATAGTGTACTAGACATTTGTTAATTGGGTTTTTACTGTTTTTAATACAAGAAAAAAAGAAATTTTTGAAACTAAATAAGAAGAGTATAATTGTACGTTGTTAAGTGAAACAAGCAACAATAAAATGTCTTCTGCTAATTTGATATTGTATGTATGGACCATTTATAATTTTGTATTTTTTTTTTTTTTTTTTATTGCATACTTGGAGTTTCTATTGCTACTGAAAATTGTATCTATTAAACAATTAAAGTTATATTTTAATCTGTAAGAGAATTATATTTTTCTATTAATAACAATTTTTTTTGTGACTTGAATTAAGTTATTGTTGTATAGATATTTTTATAAAGGATATTATGTTATACATAGCAACCATTTGCTTGATTGTCAATTCCTTGTATTAATGATTTTTTTATATAAACACTTATGTTACCTTTGATATTTCTATTATTATTGTTATGTAAATTGTTTGCTCAAACCAAACAGTAATTTGATATATGTTGTTGCCATAATATCTAATAATATATATTTATCAGTTGTTTTACAAGTATTATTATAATTTTTTTTTTTTTTTTGAAACTGAATAACAACAATATTATAATCAGCTGCTTTTAAACTAGGTACCTACATATTATTATTATCATCTATTATTGTTTATTTTAATGATATTTAGTAGATTTATTTATTGTTATATTTATATTATATTATTTCAATTGATTACTATTTGATTTCAATATTATAGTTTCCTTTTTTCTTTTTATGATTTGTTTGAACAATTTTTTTTGTCTTATGCCTTACTGTGTAAATAATATTTCAAAATGTAAGGTGAAAAATAATTTGTAAAATTTAGTGGAGCGTCATAAAGGTACCTACACCTCAATCAAAAAAAAAATTTTTCTAGTCTTGCAAATTAATATTTGCCTGAAAAAAAACACAAATTCAATAACTTCAATAGTTGGCATAGTAATATGATATAATGACACAGTGTATCCCATCGTGTTTGACTGATTTTTCTTACGTTTTTAATATTACATTTTTTCCAATCGGTTTGTCTTCGAGGAGGATATCGATTCCGAGAAAAATTAAAGTTTTATTTTCATCTCCTAAAGACAAAAAAAAAAAATAATAACTATTTATTCACTTTAAAAATTTTTCAAAATAGTCAAAAATGTATACAAATATTATTCAAAAAATTTAATGTATTCGATGAATAATTTCTTAGTTATTCTTAATTACAGTTTTAATCGGATTATGGGTATAGCCGGGTGTTGTTTTCCTATTTGCTATACCGCTGATGTTACAAATATGGCATTGTGTTCGAAATGCAAAGTGTCAATCTGATGAAATGTATCCAATATTCAATGCTCTACTTGCTTGTCTATATCTCTATTATGAAATACGCATGCATGAATACAAAAATTATGAAATACATGAAGATCAAAGGGGTCTTATTCAACTGTGAGATTTGTACCAAAGTTTTTAAACAATTAAGAGACGAAAGCACCCTGATAAAATCCACTTCTCAGTCACAATGTGTCCCACCGTGTTCGACAGATTTTTCTAGCACTGTTAATATTAAATTATTTAAAATTTTTTTTTTTCGAGAAGAAAGAATAACTTTTTTGGCTATAAGGGATGAAAAAAAATCAATTTCTCTCCAAATCGATGTCCCCCTCGAAAAAAAAAAATTTTAAATAATTTAATATTAACAGCACAAGAAATATCCGTCGAACATGGTAGGACACACTGTATTGCAATAAAATTGATTATACCTTTCTTTGAATTATTCCGTTTATTGTAATTCCTTATTTCATAGCGTATTATTTTATTGAATATTAATTATGTTCACGCCTAATTAATACAGCTTTAACTAAGAAATTATTTATTGGATATGAATGTGTAATACATTAAAAATTTTAGAATGATATTTTTTACAAAATTACTATTTTGAAAAATTTCTAAAGTGAATATATAAAAAGTTTTTTTTTTTACATCTATACCTAGGGGATGAGAACAAAAATGTTATTTTTCCCCACACCGATGTCCCCCTCGAAGACAAACCGATTGAAAAAAATGTAATTCTAACACTTACAGCGTAGAAAATTCCATGGTGGGACACTCTATATAGCAATACGGTAATAAATTCTGACAAATTGTAAGCAAACTAGATGACGTCATAAATAACCAAATCTGAAATAACTACAAAAAACACCCTTTCAACTCTTAGAAATAAAATTTTAGAGCTTGAAAAAATGTTAAAAGAGAAAGAAACCATTATTATAAATTTAGAATTTTGATTAAATGTCTTAGAACAAATTGAAAGAGCTTGTTTCATGGAAACACAGTGTAAAAAAAAGGAATAATTAAATTATCGAAGAACATAGGCAAGCGCACGGGGGGCAGCTGCCCCTTCTGTGGGCAAATTTTTCTTCCAAAAGCTAAAATTTCAATTATTACATTGAATTTGTAATTAAATTAATGTTGTATATAATTAAAATAACTCTATTACTAATATTAATTGAACTATCTATTAAGTAGGGTTCGATTTTCAAAGCAAAAGCTTTTTTTTGATTCTGAATGAAGCAAGAATGTTTTGGTTTTACAATGATGTTTATTTTTTTTTTTATGTGAACAATTTTTCTACCAGAAAGCATATTTTGATTATCAAGTCTATAGCACCTTTTCTAAAAGGAAATCTTTTCTGGGTCGTACATATAGAAAGGTAATTTTTTGAAATTATAATTAATATTTGAGACAGTGACAAAAACCTGGTTCTTTAGGTTATAAAATATTAAAATTAAGGTTGTCATTGACAACCGTTTTTATTTATTTTTTGTTATTATTAAGTTTTTATTATTTTAATCTATTTTAAATAATCATTGTTATCATGGAAATGCACATTGTGATTGTTGTAATCATTTACTATAATATGACATATTATATTATATTGTTAACGCTCAGAATAGTTTTTTTGTTAGCAATTGTTTATCGTTGCTTACAGATATACAATAGTATAATATTGTTGAACTTTCATCTAAACGAAAACGTACCGAATTCATAAAAAAACGGGAAAATCTAGAATACAAAGGACCAAGAATTTATATCAATGCAAATTTAACAGAAAACTATTTTGGGAAACCAGAAAAATGGCGAAGGAATTCAATTAGGTTACAGATACATTTGGACAAGTAATGGTAGAATTTACTGCAAAAAGGACGAAATGAACAAAAAAAAAACCAAGTAAGAAGAATGAAGAACTTAGTTTTATTTTAATAATATTTACATTTAATACTATAATAGTTAAAATTCTTACAACAGTATTATATTTTTATTTTTACTGTGTAATTGGGAAAACAAACTTTGTTAATTTCAGTATTAGGCACACATATCATAACACATCTATTGATAACTGATTTACAAACAATTTTAACCTTATGTAGCACTAAATCTTTTATTATAAAACAAAATAGGTATTATATGTGTCACACATGCAAACAATTTAAAATGATAACTAAACAAATTTCATTTTACTCACAAATATTACTAAATTACAACACCGACAAAAAAACTAATGTATACTATTTGCAAATATTTTCAAATATATCAAAAATAACTGTTTTAATACAATCGTTGATATTATATAATATTATTTTACCTTATTATTAACTTTAATGACTAATTCACAAGTAGCCCATTTAGAAATCAAAAATGGCTTATAATAATATTTGTGTTGATAATTTTGTAAACTGCTGTAATCTAATTAATACTTATACAAAACTTGAAAACTTTTATAACTAATGGATACTCATTAAATAATATAATATATGTGAACATGAGATTTGCTAATACAAATTTCAAAGAGTTCTGTATTTTGTTAGATGGTCTAACAATTTATTTTGACTTAATTATATTAACAAAAGCATGGTCAGGCTTACCTAACTCTGATTACTCCCAATTTAAAATTCTAAAGTGTATCACAATTAACACTATAAATCGTTGTAAACCAAAATTACAAAATCATTTTTTTCATAAGAGACATTATTGCTGACGCTCAAATATCTGAATTAAATACAAATTATATTATGTCTAGTATAGGAATTAAATTTAAAAAAGGTGGTTATGATACAACACTAAATCTATTAAAAATAATTTAAAAAAAAAATCATTTGTGTCACATAAAATATCTGTACAAAGAATTAAATGTTCTACTATTAAAAAAATGATTCTATAAGGCTTCAGAAATTTATATAAATAAATAATCTAACACCTAGTATTGATCATGGATATCAACTCAAAACAATTATCAAACATCACTGTTCCCTTAATACACAAAAAACTAACTCAATCTACTTACTTATATATAGGTCCAAAAATAAATAATAATATGCTACCATTAGACTTCAAAACAACTCTATCATTTAATACTTTCAAAAAAAAAAAATAAAATAACCAACTGGCTGCAGAATGAACCAAATTTAAACTTTAAATATTTGTATATCTTTAATCTAGTCGTTTGCATTTGTATTTTATCAAACTGTATTGTACATTAAGTCTCCATGTATTAAGTATTGTTACCTACATTGTATATGTTTAAGTTAGTTTAATCTAATAAGTCTAAAATTGTAAAAAAAAAGTTAAATTTAAATAATTATTTCCCTTATTATAAATTATAAACTTATGGGTCCCCACACAAACCTGTTCAGTTGGGCCAATTACTTTAAGGAGAAATAAACAATAATAATAATAGTAATAAAAAGTAGTTTTAATTATGTGTGAAAATGATTAATATTCAATGAAATAACACGTTATGCGATAAGAATTTATAATAATCACTGCAATTCTTAACTTATATTAAATATTAATTGTTTTCACGCCTATTTTCTAGAAATTAAAATTTTTAGATTTATATTTTCTACAAAATGGCTATTTTGATAATTTTCTAAGGGGAATTAATAGTTATTTTTTTTTCTGTTTAAGGGATCAAAATAAAAATTTAAGTTTTCTCCAAACCGATGTCCCTTTTCAAAATAAACAGATTGAAAAAAAAATGTTATATAACAGCTCTACAAAAATTCGTTGACCACGGTGGGACACTCTGTATATCAGGATATATTATGTATTTGGATATTTTTCATATAAATCTGTGGTTGGAACCTAATCTTGGATTGGATGTTATCATAGATAACAAAGATTTATTATCTTTATTATCTATGGAGTTTATGTTTATTTCTACCACAGATATTTATAGATAAGTGTAATTTCTACAGATTTTATATATCTGTTTATTTCTTATCGTATTTTATTCATAGATAATTTATTAATTACTTTATTATCTATGATTTTATCATATCTAAATATCGAGGTTAGGATTAGGTTATATCAGCAGATGCTTATGTTTACATCGTGATAATATAATTTAAAATTTGAAATATTTGAATACATCAAATTAAACTCTTGGTGTTCGATTTGCTTTTGACACATTTCATTAATCCTAAAGTTTGTTTTCCATAGTAGTATACAAGTCAAGTCGTATACTTTATTTTGTTTTGTATTTCAAATATTTATCTAGTTTCTATTTGTATTTCAACGATAACTGTACACCGGCTTAGTGAACTGCAGTAAGTTTTTAAATAAATAATAATAAATAATTGATTTGAACAATCAAATAATACCGAAAAGTAAGAAAATTACAATTTTAATATTGTGGATTTGTGTTGTTTTAGAGATGAGTTTTAATTGCTACAAAGATATAATTGAAGAAGGAGATACTGTTATATTGTACATAAACCCACAAGCTATGTATGCTATTCAAGCTCTGTCGATAATTGAAAATCGTAAAGGTGAAAAAGTTGAGAATATTATGCAGACAAAATATGGTGCGTTGAAAATTTCATCATTATTTGGTAAACGATTTGGGTCAAAAGTAAATCTATCTAATGGATGGGCTTATGTTTTGTATCCGACACCTGAACTTTGGACTCAAACTTTGCCACATAGAACTCAGATCATATACACGCCAGATATTGGTCTAATTATGTTCATGTTAGAACTTAAGCCTGGTAGCATTGTGGTTGAATCAGGTAATAATATTTTGTTTTTATTAATATTTACCTATATATTTGTTGTAAATATATATTCACTGAATAATTGTGATATATATAGGTACCGGAAGTGGTTCATTAACTCATGCCATGGCTTTTAGAGTAAAGCCATCTGGACATATTTATACTTATGATTTTCATGAGCAAAGAGCAGAACAGGCCCAAAAAGAGTTTAAATCCCACGGATTATCAGATATCGTTACTAGTCAATGCAGGTACTTATCTAACTCAATTTATTCACTATTTACAGTATATATTGTGTTTATTTATTATGTATATAGTTATAAATTACTTATTTATATATTATTAACCAATTATTATATTTGTTTTTAGAGATGTTTGTCAAAATGGATTTAGCGACGAAGTGGTTGGTAAAGCCGATGCTGTATTTTTAGATTTACCTCATCCACATCTAGTTGTTCCATTTGCCATTAAAGCTTTGAAATCAACAGGTAAAATTAGATTTAACAATATTAATCATAATTATATATTTTGAGTAAACATATTATAATACATATTTAGTATTTAGCTTATATTTCATTTAAACAATTATTAATATATTGACTGCAGCAAAAAAGTTTGCGTCTCAATTTTTGTAAATGTTCAAGAGAACTAAAAGAAGATTTCAAACTTCTCTTTTCTTCTATTTTTTTATGTATTATAACACAGAATCTAAATTTTAACTAATATGAAAAAAGATTGTACATTTTTATTTTGAAAAAGTTCAACGTGTAATTAAATAGTTAAACCATTTTTCATTGGGATAGCCAGTTTCAGGTAGATTACATCAATTTTCTGTGCTTAAAACCTGATTTTTGGTAATTTTCCTCTCGAAGGGTGATAGAGAAAAAAATGGACTACTAGGAACGGAACTATTAATAACTCAAAACTGCCAAAATTTGAGATACAACTTTCTGCACTCATATTCCATAATAGGCAGTTTAAATTGCCAAACAAAATTTATCAGTTGATAAAATTTAATATTGTTTTGATATTTTTTTTTGGAAAACTTAAATCGATTATCATTTTCTGCAACTTATTATTATTCATTTTCTAAGTTGATATTATTTTCTTTATAATATAATATTTATATGAAATTTATTAAGTATTAAGTATATCAAAACTATAATTTATAACTTGATAAAAATATACAAAAACTGATAAATACAGGAAATTTAATAATAATATGTTATTCAAAATACAATTAGGTGACTAGTTTTTATCATCATTTTCATTAGCAATTTATCCATAATATTAATATTAGAAGTTTATCATGAAACTTTATACAATAATTACATGTGAATCTAGAATATAGAATAAGAAGAACAATCATAATATTTTGATTAGAATATTTTGTTTGTAAAAGAATTTTTTTTTTTTGATTAATGACTGGAATATTAATTATTTTAAAAGAAACATAATATTTAATCGTCTTGGTTGTTGACACATGTTTTAAGTTTTTATTAAAATGCAGAGTATTACTGTATGAATATCAAAAATGGAATAACAAATTCACGAATAAAGTTGCGATCAAGGTGTCCTTCATATATTTTTGTAATATTTATAGGCCGGATGTTTATATTTTATTAAAAAAGACAATTATAAACATTTTGATTGTTATAAGTATGCAAAAGAGAACAGCCATTAGTTTGTCTGTTGACAAAATATAACAACATTGTATGTAATAATAATGTACTCGTATAATAATGATAACAAAAAAACAACCAACTGATTTAACTTTTGTTTCAGTTTAATAAACTGTATTATTAGTAGTACATCTGATTTAGTAATATTATCTTGTTGTTTATACACACATCTGATCTCGTATATGTACATCAAATCCACATTCTACCTATATAATAGTGACACATTGGCATAATATTACATAATACAAGTACATCTGAGATGTATGTACTGTATAGGTACATTTATTATTTGTGTTGGTATTTTTGTTTTTTCACATTTTCAGTATCATGTAAATTTCAATGTAAATTTCCGTTCCACAGTACACGAATGTAATTTATCAAAAAGAAAGTGTAGTATTTTATGTAGGTACTTAGTTCTGATAGTGTTTTCAGTATAATATCAAGGCTACAGAGCAATGAATAATATTAACTTGCAATTAATTGAAAATAGGATTGATGTGTTGATACATTAAATGTTAATTGTTATATCAGGTAATTAAATCAAATAAAGTTACAATGTAATTTGAAAATTTAGATTTTTTTTGTTTTAATTACAATTAGTATTGTCATAAGTAGTAAAAAAGATTAAACCTAGAGTTAGTGATTTTTTTGAAATTAAGGATGATTGTTATTTCAAAGAGAGGGCTTATTCAGTTAAGGGATAACTAATTATATTTATTTTAAACTTGAAACTCTACATATATTTATTTATATGATGGTAGGTACTTAAAGTTGAAATTAATTTAATTTTTAATTTTCTAACTTGTCGAATGTATAGCCTTTATTACAAGTATTTATTTATCAGTAGGTCAACTAGTTTTTAATGTTATGATAGGTTATTATATGGTACACTAGTTCCACATACTTATTCATCAGATAGAATTAAGTTATAATTTTCAGACTTTATTGAAAATAAAAATAAAAATAAATGTTTACTAAAAATTGTGTTTGTATATAATTTAGGTTTTTTTAAACTAAAATTCTGCGTTTGACAGATAATTTTTTTTTTAAACAGGAAACTTCTGCTTATCTATTATAGATTTGGCAAAATGTTTTTACATCATATTATTATTATTATCTATTGATGGAATGTCATAAACAATAAACACACATAATAATATTGTTTACGAATATTGCATAAATATTGTTAATGCTCAATACTACGTTTTATGCACTACACGCACAATATTTTGTTTTTGTGATATCACGATTTTTCCATTTGGCCAAAAAAACATAATTATGTATTAAACAATTTATTATTCTTTATTAATTTAGATCAGTGTTGTTAGTATACTTTATTTTTAGATATCTACTTTAAAGCTAGTGAAAATCTACAAATCGTAACTTCCTTTTAATTCCATACATTTCTTCCAACACTTAACAAGTTTTGTAATGCTGTCCATATAAAATTCTACATACTGAGTAGTAAACACAGTTTGATTTCAGCTTGAATTTTTTCTGAAAGTGATAATTTTTTCAAAAATTTGTATTACTGATAATTTAAGAAACAAGTAATTCTAAAATGTTATCATTATTTTTAGATTCTGAGTGGAGCGAAGAATATATATGTTTTACTAATTTTTACTACAAAAATTTGACTAGAAATCTTGCTCCGATATATACGCATAGCACTAATTCTGAAAGGAAATATTGACCTGATGGTACTTTTGTGTGGTAATTTTTTGATTTTCCAAGCGGTTTTCATAATATCTCGGAAAAACTGGTATATAATTTCGGAAAAACAGAAAATGTACGAAATGTTGGTATTAGTACAAAAATATTATGGCCTTTTTTTTTCCTGTGTATAACTTTTCTACCAGAAATTTTGCTCTGATTTACTATAATAGCATTTTAAGTATGAAGGTATATCTGACTGGGAAGGTACTTTAGGGAGAATATTCCAATTTCGATTTTTCCAAGAGTTTTCTTAGCAAATGTGATAATCCGGGAAAAAACATGGGAAAACCCGGTAAAACGGGATAATCGATGCAATATTATATAAATATTATTAAAGAAAATACATAATGCCTATTTAATTAAATATTTTACCATAATATGACATATATATATTGTTGACAAAGCATCACTATCAACTGAACTGTGCTTAGAATCGTTTTTTCGTTCGCATGGTTTATCATTGCTTATATATATACATTAAATTAACTATAACAATGGCTGCACCCATCCACATATCCTACGACGTCTTTTTTTAACATTTACCTACTTTTGATTTTCAAATGGCAACCTATATTAAAAATCACATAATGAAATTGGTGTTAAAATTTTTGATTTCTGTGAACCTAGGTATTTCACTTTTAAGTTTGAGTAAGGCGAGAGTAGTGGAGCACGCGGCTAGGTTAGGTTTATCAATGTTTGTCAACATTGTAATTAACAATTGATTATTTTGACTTTTTAGTAAGATTTTTCGAAGAAAATCATGTTTTAAAAATGTATTTATTTATTTATTTAAAACATCTTAGTCATATTGTATGATTTGTTACGAAATATTGTTTAGCTCATCACTTTTACTAGGTATCTCTTATTAGGTATACACTTTTATCTATTTTTATTTTAAATCTTATTTCTATTCAGATATAATTGATTTGATCAAATAGGAGAGTTTCTCATACGCGTTATCTCCGCTATAACATCATTTTTGGAAGGCTTTTTGACTGTTAATATTGAATTGTTACCGGTCCGACGGTGGGTTACGTATATAACACATATAATGTACTAGAATATGTAATGCCATTCACACTTACCTATAACCACGTGTTGAAACCCTTTTCGAAGACTTTTGAAAATGGAAAATCCGATTATTGATTGTTCTATGTTATCGTAATTAAGTATGCATGCAAAATTGCAAATTGTTTGGATCATGGGAAGTGGGTCAAAAATGGATTGCATGAATCCATGACACAACTCACGGCAAATCAAAGAAAATCACGTAATAAAAATTAATGTAGTTCGTGCTATTGTACGTGGCTGGAAGCAAGCCATTTTTTTTTTTATAAATTAAAACTCAATTGTAGTTACCTTGTGACTATAATAATTCACTTATATCACTTGATTATTCAAATTCACCTGAATTTAAATTATTGGACGTTATTTATTATATAATATAGTACATATTTAGTGTTTACGAATAAGTGCGTTTGTCATTTTCATCTCGGGACATCGGGTCAAGTGGAAGTTTAGGACGAGGGTGACCATCTCCAAATAGTTCTGATGAAAGGCAAAGGAGACTAAGAAGAAGGGGAAATAAACGAAATTTATTGTGGCAATAATTTAGGTTGAAGCCCCCCCCCCTTGTATACGTCCCTATATATAGATGGATCATAGATGCGAAATCCTTATACCTATTATACACTATACTGTGAGCGAAGAATCTACTAGTTACCATAATGGTTATATGTGGTAACAGATACTGGTTTATGATGAACAACATTTTTATCAATCTGTTTTGTGCCAATTTTTTTTTATTAATATTAAGTTTGGTGTATTATTGTAGTTAACATGATGAAAAACGTTTTGGTAAAAATCCGAAGTTAAAAAAATATTTATACAACGAGATAATGAGAGTTGATGAAAAGCCGTGTGACGTCTTAGAGCCGACGACTGAGCAGCCGCCTATGTAACGTGTAAAAGTAGTTAAAATTTACACAATGATTTTAATAACTTAAAAGTTAAAATAGTATTTTCGAATTTTTTTATTCGTAATTCCAAGTATATTTATGTGCTTAAGACGACGGTGTGATTTAAAATTTAATATATTTAGTTGTAGCATATATATTATAAATTATAATTTAGTAAAATTATTGAGTTCGCGACTCGCGTCATATTGCCGCGCGGCTCATCGCAGTGGCACAAACCAAATTTTATGAAATTGACTATAATAGTTTTATCTACTAATACAAAACTAGAAATTATATCAAAATTATAATCACACCAGTGTTGTAAACACAAAAAAATACTTAAGTTTATACAAAAAAAATTTAAAAAATATTATATTTAACGATTGAAATCGTTGTGTTAATCTAGACACTTTTGCACGTAAAATATACGCCGCCGTTCCGACTTCGGCTCTTTGACGTCACTCGCATATTTTCAAATGCCTGTATCTTATTGAATAATATTTGTGTTTAAGTGTGACACCCACACCGCATTTCTTAAATAATGACATATTTTAAATCTAAGCAAACTTGTTTTTAGTGTTGTGATGTCCTTTAAGTTACAAAGCATAAGCAAAAAGAATGGTGTGTACATATTTATATTGTGGTTCCGTTTCAAAAAATAATAACGACCATGCCTTGTCTTTTTTTATTAGACATTTGTTTTTTTTTTATCACAATGAGTTATTTCTCAGATTTGAAATGATCTAACATATTGTATGCAATTTAAGTTTTAATGCAGTTTTAAAAAAAGTTTTCATACAAATTAATAATATTATTTTCCGTATTTTTTATTCCGGTTACTGCTAGGCAGCCGGTATTCGGTGAATTGCGTTTTCGTTATCGCTTATGGTTTAGGTTTACACCTTGATTCAATATAACCACTTTGGTAACCAGTAAATGCTCATTGATCACACGTTTTGAATAAACCGTAAGTCCCATCCATGATGTATATAATATTATTATCTACGAGCTTATTAAGGAGGATTCCCTGCTATCCCTTGTACGTGTACATGCGTATTAAAACGATGCTCCTCCCACAGTGTATGATCTATTCATATTACCACAATTCACAATATAACAATATGATTAATAGTAAACATTAGTAATCACACGTCAAAAAGTTGACTCGAGTTCAACTCTGCGGTATTCTGGTAGCATATAAGCAAAGCATACATTGTTAGAGAGCCCTATGGAAATCCTGTTCTCCGATCGATTCTAATCCCAACAAGATAACAATTTCATTATCAATTATGATTTTTAAATGTTTCAATATGTAAAAACTGAAGTGTTTTATTTTATTAATATTTGAAATGCCATTCATATTTGATCAATTATAACATGTATGAAAGAAATCATTTTTTTAGGTAAGTAGATTATTATATAGTTATTATATTATAGGTACATATTAAATTTAATATCAAATTATTATTTCAGGATAAAATATTGTTTCATAATTAAAGATATTATTCAATATGTTAAATAAAAAATTTAAACACGAAGAACACTCGATAGATGAAAATAAATTACAAAATTTGAGATACGAGATGACATTACATACTCGTACATATAACATTCATACATAATCATTTTTGACCTTACAATCTATCTTGTTCTTTTGTATAAATCACAATATTTTGTTTTCATTGTTTGTTGTAACTTAAAACAAAAAACAAAAAAACAAATTGTAATAGAATTAATTGTTATCCACATTAACAAATAATATAATTTAGTGTTACCGATCAGTTTATTAACAATTCAAATAGTTATCGTATCGTATAGGTATCTTAAAAAAAAATTTAAAAAAAATATGAACTAAACATGTATGTCTTAGTATCCTACAAAATATAAAATAAAATAAAAATAGGCTAACATAATAAATTAATATCATCAATAAAACGCAAAACATTTTTACAAACTGATAATGAAATTGTTATCTCGTTGGGATTAAAGCCAATGGGAAAACAGGATTTCCATAGAGTTCTGTAACAATCTCATAGATCTTATACTGTATAGTATAAGTACTTAGTCTATGAACAATGTACACTTTGCTTATATGCATCCTGGTAGTAGTATGATGTACACCAGAACCAATAACCAATAACCAATCACCAATCATAGCGCATTCTGTACATACACGCAAACGGGATAGCTATGGGAATCCGCGTTTACTCCGCTATAATTTCAAGAGTTCTAATGAAAACTATACCATGCGTAAACAACAAACGAATCGAGTCTCGAGTCCCGTCGCCGAGGTTTTTCGATATTTTGCCGATAATAATAATTCACCGTGTACGGACAATAATAATTAAGTACCCAACGGGCCGGGCCGCGCGTCCTCCTAACATCCGATCGCAGTAGTGGTAAAAAAAGTACAATATTTCGAGTGTAAGTACGTATTAGAATAGTTACCGTGGTGATGGTGGCTTAGACGTCTAATAAAAATCGACGTCCGCGTCGCGAGATGCCTTATTTCGCCTTATTTACGCCCATCACGGATACCGTAATGCGCAGGCACGTCGTAATTATTATAGGTTATACCTTATAGCACGTTAATTCCGTCTCTATCGATAATTCCTTTGTGTGTGTGTATGTGTGTTTTTTTTCGACCGTTGTTGTGTATCCAGCCAGTCACGGTGTATAATTATTATTACATTTATACCTATATATATATATATATATATATATATATATAGGTATACATTATAATATTATAGATCTTGCGCGGAGAGTACGCACGGTAGGTACGGACCAGTCTTTTTAGAGAGAAAAAAAAACGGTCCCGGACAAAATAATAATAATATACCTATATCTATAATCGCGCGCGGTACCCGGCAGTTTTTTACGTATTACATATATACTTATTATACTTACTTATATATATATAGATGGTCAGACTGAGATAAAACAATTATTAATATTACACGATAAGCTACTGTATTCGATCCGTACGATGAAAAATAATAACTACGTGTGTGTTTACTCGATTTCACAGACGGATTTGTGTATACATATGTGTATATATGTATTATAATATAGGTGTACACACATCACCGGTGTCCGTTTATTATAACTGTTCGCCGTATGCGCGTGTGTGTGTGTGTGTTTTTTTTTCACTTTTAAATAATTCGTTTTTATGTTACCGGATTGTATATTATGTTTTGTGTATAGCGTCTCTTATGATATATTATCATATTCGTCGAGAAAACGAGAAAAAAAAAACGTTTACTACAGTATGCTAGATGATAATATAGTCCGCAGTCGTGTTACTGTAGCAGTAATAGTTATCGTGTACTTATGATACCTACTGTATAACTGCCAACTATAAAACGCGTTATTTTTTTGATTCATTTTCGGAGACTTTTATGCGCTGTAATTTATTTATATTCTTAGCGAAACGAGCAACGTATATTGGTTATTTTATCTTCCCGGTCTGTGAATGACTTTTCGATCGGAAATCTTGTTCCAATCGTCAGGGTTGATTGTTTCCGAAGGTAGGTGGTGAATTTCGTCTTGTTACACATATGGCTCGTCATTGAGAATATTATTTTTCGATATCTCTCTCAATTTACTTAATAGTAAGAGAAAAACGGGAATGTTTACGTTATATTTTATGTCAATTTCGTTTTAAAGTTCAACGAACAATAATCGTAGACACCTATGATTTTCACCAAACTTACTTAAATTTGTCCTTTCTATATTAGTGGTGTAATTTTGAACACAGCCGTTTTTTTTTTTTTTTGAGTTATTTCAAGTTATTTGAAATTGTATAGAGTTTTTTTTATTGGTTTAATTCGAATACATGATCTATTCGACACTAAACTTTGCAAAAAAGAAAAGCGAAGCAAAGAACTATACAGCTTCAAAATGAACCAAGGAACGGCTAAAAAAAGAAGCAAAAATATCAGTACTTTTTAAACAAAATACTGACTTTATTGATTCTCAATGCAATAACAGTGATAACGATGATGTTTTGTGTGCACCCACCAGTACAATTTAAAAAAAAAGACAAAGCCCCTTACCTCTTAGACAGACAGTACTCTTTAAAAATATTAATATCGTAACTTTTAAAATTGCATCTACTTTGGTTAGAATGAAAATAAGTGACCGAAATGCTATGCATGTTTTATCAGCTACACTACAATCGTTGGGACACAATAATACCTACAAGACTTTACTCTTAACAGAAAATCAATTTGACAAGTTAATATCGAGAAGAAATTTCAGACTACGTAAATAGTTTGCTTGTTCCAATTATTTTATTGACAGTCTATACTGGGACGGAAAATTGCTTCCGAATTTCTGACGGAAGATTTAAATGTCAAAAGATAAGGTTAATCGTTTTACAGTTATAATATCAGGGAATGGTTGTATTACGAAATTACTTTGTGTGACATTGTTTAATGCAAATTTTTTGTTAACACAATGCACTTTTCGACACTCTGACTAATAAAACGTCGTTGCGCATCACATTAGAATCACATTAGAAGTGATGTAATATAAATCCGGGTAAAAATCCGAAAATTTGGATTTTGAACCTCGTATTCTGAAAGTTGTCTAGTTAGTACATTAAGGAAGTCATTTTTTGAGTTTCCAAGTAGGTTATCATAATTATTGAAAAAAAAAAAAAAAGGGGATAAACGGACGAATATTTACGGCGTAACGATTTCTTGATTTTAGATTATCGTAAATATAAACATTACCGATTATACAATTAGTATTCTTACAAACAGTAATCTTACATATCGATAGTTTATATTTCATACTATATTATAGTGTTGATATTTTTGGATTTCGGATTCCGAAAATCCGGATTTACGAATTACGGGCAAACCCGGATTGTCCCCACCGCTAATAGAAACGATATTTTAACCCGATTCATCCACCCCCGGAAAACATTAATCCGGGTAAACGCGCATCATCGCTACCTGTACGGTCCATACCTATACTCGTAACGTTATTATAATGCGAAAACGGCGAAACGAAAATATCCCAACTGTAAAATCGACGGACGGCGACGGGAATGTTTTACGTGAGTACAAATGCCGCTCGGGTATTTTTATTTTATTCTCTATTTTCGGTGCGCGCCTATATTATAGGTAACCTACCGCGCGAGGTAAAAAAAAAAAAAAAAAAAAAATAAGAAAAAAACCGCCGATGCATAATGTCAGTAATTAAACGTTGTTACAGCGGCGCTGCGTACCCATCGTAGGTACCTATATTACTATATTATTGATGCGCGTTCAATCTTGTTATTATCTTAAACGGTTTTGTGGGGCAAACCGAAAGAATGTCCGAAATGGGCTCGAGGCTTGAATATCATTCGAATGGAAAATAACGCGAGATAGCTATGTGAATGCTGCGCGTACCTATATAAACCGACGTGTACCTGCATAATGTATATATGTATAGGTGGGTACGAGATGCGTTTTCGTTTTCCGTCCCGATGCAAATCAACAACGCGTGGGAAACTTATTCCGATTTTGTACGAAACGACGGTCGTCATTATATTATACAGGCATTCGTATACCTGTATATTATGTATATAGATGTGTCTACGCACGAACGCCGGGATAGTATTGCGAAACCGTAACGTGTAATTGTGCGGATAGTTCTGTTAAACGTTCGGCCAGAGACATTGTATATTACACTACGTTCGGGAAGGGGGGGGTGGTGGCGGGGCTGGTGGGGGCGGTACCGGCATAGTTTTCGAGAAATTGATAATACAAAAATTACATAATACGCTCGTATAATTTGTCCACCGCGCGACGGAAGAGCGCGTTGGTTTTTTTTTTCGGCGGCGGGAGTGGCGGGGGGTAAACGCGGGTCGGAAGGGTCTTGAGAACGCCGTTTCGTTACGGGTATAAATATACACATATATAATATATGTAGATGAAAGAAGAAAAATAAAATATACGTGTATATTATTGCGTTTTTGTCCGTGTGAATGCAAGCTATAATATATTAGGCATGGTGTGTGTGTGTGTGTGTGTGTATGTGTGTATATATATATATATTGTATAGGTATACCAGATAACCGCTGCAGATACGTGAAACAAATTGTTTAATCGAAATCGCCGTAGTGTCCACGCCCCGGACATCGCGAGATCAAACCAATTAATGGGTTAGCGTTATGATACTATTATGCAGCGAAACGTATACTGTTTAATATTATATACATATAGGTATAGGTGTCGTCGATCTCGCGAGTTCTGGTTATGATTTTTTCGAAACAACAACATATTAATAATTACCGGTTGACGGCCGCCTTTAAAAATGCAGGTTCAAATCGAAAATTGTAATTTTTTTTTTTTTTTACAGTAATAGTTTGAATTTATTACATTATTATCGTTATTATCTATTATATTTAAAAAGATGGATAAACTTCGCACGAGGAGCAAATTTGTTTTGGTGTTAAGTTGGGAATGTTTGATATATATAGGGGAATTTAATGTGTATCTGCATTATGCAACGAATCATCATTGCTAACTGCAAGTTCGGACGAGCAATTATATTTTACCGGTACGTTATTCTATAATAATAGTCTATATATATATATAAAGAAAGGATTTTAAAAAGTTTAAGTGGATTAATTAATAATAATAATAATAATTCATCGCCAATACGTATTAACCATCGAGTCATTTATTTTTAAAACTATCGGCAAATACGCGCATTATAAAAGTATATAAAGGTATTATTTATGTATTTTTATGGATTACTATAGTAACACGCAGGATCGGCGTTAGGGTAGGACAAGTAGGGCTTACGTCCAAGCCCTCGAATTTTCAGAGGCCCCGCGCTTGTAAACCCAGACACAAAGGTAGCACAATTATAATGGGCGTAAAACTGGAAAAATAATTTGTTTAGAAAAACGATGTTTTTGGGAAAAACACGTGCACACGCGTTGTCTTATTAAGCAGTATTTCCAGCCGTGGTCAAGTGTAAGGTATCATTATAATAATATCAGGTGAAAGAAGTGGTACGCTGAAAAGAAAATATCTCACAAAAATAAATTTATCCAATGCCTCGGAAATCGTAACGCCGGCCCTGGTAATTCGGATGAAATTAATTGTTATGGATTACCATAGTAACACGGATGAAATAAAAACAAATTTAAAGGTTGGTAACATGGATGAAAGAAAAAAAAAACCGAGTGAAATATAAAATAATATTAGAAATATTTTAAACTGTGCGCGAGCGAAGCCGGGTAATACTGCAGCTAGTAATATTGATAATTTCGTTGGAATTATTTACATGCAGTTGATGTTTTTCTTTTCTTTTTTTTTTGTAGTTTCTTTGATATTTTTCACTTCTCGCTTGTATAGTTATTATAATATTTTATAGAACTCAATATAATTAAGGAAGATTTTGCTTTGAGAGGATGTTAGCGTGAATGTTTTTGGACACGAAAACCTTGTGTCGTGAAATCGTTTTATTTCCAATATATACATTTATCATGAAAGTTATACAACACAACTTCATGTCTACACATCAATTTAGCTTACATAAATTACGTGTTAATTTATAAAACAAGTTACGGGATTTTTTAATCGTTACATAGATTACTTTTAAATATCTTATGTATCTTATCCTGTAATTCCACGAAATAGAAAATCGCTATAATAAACATATAATTAATATTAATTGTGTTTAATTTTCTTAATGATACACATTTCAAAATCCGTTTGACGAGGAATTTTTTTTCTGTTTTACACGGTAAACGAGTATTCCTTTTGTTTTCGAACTTTTCGTTAAAATCGTTTCAATTTTTATTATTATTTTTTTATATAATTTTCTTGTACCTACCATATAATGTAATTCGTTTTCTTTTATTTTTTCGTCTCAACAGCATATTAAGTGTACGTATTTTCAAAATGTATTTTACTTATATCGAAAACTACACTGTACCAAATCGACTTGGGCAATTTTTCCCCGAGACCAAAGATGTATAGATTAAGATAATACGCATATCGAATCCTATTGAAATTGATAATAAATAAAATTATACAATATATGAATGCGATTTTACTGTTTACGATTTAAACTTCGTGCATGCGGGTATATTATATTTATATATATATATTATATGTATATATAATATACGCATACAGTGTACGTAATATATGATATTTAAATCGTATGCATTTAATAACAAATCGAATAATGTACGACTCGACCGACTTATAAAATAGTTGCTTCGAATCACCTCAAGCGACTATTATTATTACCAGCTATTACCGACAAAACGTTTTGCGCGTCGGTGGCGGTGAATTATATTTATTTCGCGTACACCGCAATGGAAAATAAATAATATCCGATGTCGGGAAGAAAAAAAAAAAATTAAAACGTCAAATTGTGCGATATGGTCAGTAATAGGTATTTTTACTATTATTAAATATATACATATGTATTTTATTTTTATCAAACTGGTTAGATGCGATATTATGCATATTATAATGTATGCAGAAATACTGAAATGCGTATGTACGTACCTATATCTGCTGCAGTAGTGCTTATATTATCCTGCAAACTGGTTTAACGTTACGAAAGGCGCGCGATCTCGTGTATCTTCTTACACATTTATGATTATTATTATTTTTTTAGCATTTTATGTTCAGTAGTGTCAGCGTATGCAATATGTATTAGGTATGTTTATGATTAGATAGATAGATGTCTATAGCGCGATTGCTTTACAATTTGCATTATCCGTTAAAATATAATATTCGACTTATTAAAATTAGAGTTAAGCGAACACCTTATACCTACGTTTATAAAGAAAGTTTGACAGTTTTCAAGCAATGATTTCGCAAATCCGCATTATTTTATGTAGTTGTATACTATGAACAATTTAGCTTAATTTATTATGGAGGAAAGTAAGAAAAAATAAAACCGAAAAAAGGATCCGAAAAGACGGAGTTGAACTGTTGAAAATTTCAAAAAATGTTTCAAGTATAAAATTCGGAATCTCTTAGGGGTACTGCGTGAACAAATCGAATATTTTTACTATAATTGAAAAGTATTTTCCGAGAAAATAAACTTTTTCTATAGTAACGATGGAGATCTTAATTCAACTGTAGGTAGCGCTAAAGTCGTTTATTGTAAGGAGCACCCTAATTCTTGTTTGCATAATATGTTACGCGTTTATCGTTTAAAATATTCATTCGTGCGTCACCATTGGAAAAAGTGCGCCTAGTGCTCTTACGTTACAATCATGGATCTAATAACTATGAACCGCACAAAGAAAGAGAGACAACTTTAAAAAAATATTTTTTTTCTCACGGTATGTGATATTATAAATTTAAATTAAATCTATTATCACAAATAATCAATCAATTAATCAATTATATCTACCGTATTTGTTAACATGAAGTTATTTCTATATGAAATAAAAAAAAAAAATTATATTATATTCTCTTTCATGATGGGTTTATCCGATATTTCTATCTTATTTAATGTTTTATTGCTGCGCAATAGATGAGGTGATTATTATTGTTGCTGCAATTTAATTATGTACTGTTCGGATGTATCACAAAACTATCCCCTTATTTTGGTTCAACAAATTGCTACGAGAGTACAGAATTTAAATTTCGATAGTTTCTTCGTTAAACTCTACTACTAACCATTAAAATCGAGTTTAAACATATTTGTTTATAATATAAAATATTATGCATATACCATTTTACAATGGTGGTACGTGCAATATGAAATATTTATACATGCATTGATTAATTATACTGTATGTACACTTATTATAATAATTAAGGGATTCAATACACGTCTTATTTATTTTAAATATTATATTTTATACGAATATTATTGGGAATATCACATTATTAATATCATACATAGTTACTTACTTAGCTATTTCGTTTTGGGAGAAAATATTACCAATATTATAACACTGATAATTAATGGCATAGACTACTTAGAGTATTAGGGTAAATGGTAAAATTAATATTACATTAGACAAAAATACACAATATTTGCAGCATATTAACAGCCATTTCTTTCAACTGCGAATTACTAATTTAATTTCTATATATAGTCATAATATTATGCATTGATGGCTACACATTATCACATATAACACTTAAAACTGTGGTTCTCTTGGAAAGTTGTCGGTTTTGTTGGATAAAAACACATTTAAATGGCGAAATTGTCCTTATGCCATTATAAATACGAAAGGCATTAACCTTATTATCGGAATACATTTAAATCACAGCAAATATAAGAATTGATAAAAAAAAAAATCGGTAAAATAAAAGTTAGATCCGATCAGTGGCATACTGACATATACACACACACAAACTACTTGTAAATACTTATTCATCATTGAAACAGAAATAATATAAACAAAAAGTCGTTCAAAACGTAATATTTTTCGATTTTTGTTTTCTACCAGAAATCTTACTTCAAATTTCAAGAATATTATCTTTTTCGAAATATATTTTGTTTAGTTGATAAATGAGAAAGTCATGTTTTGATTTCCCATGTCGTTATCTTCTTTATAATTGTGTAAAACCAGAAAATAACGTAATAAAAACGAGAAAGTTTACGGATATACAAATTGACTTCCTAAAACACTTCTAAAGCAAGAAATTAACAAAATTGGATAAATGTGTAGTAATATATAGTTTTTTAATGGTTTTAAGGTCAGTGCATTATTACTACTATGGTATAGTATGATAATTAATTAATTTGTTGTAATAAATGTGTATACTTAATATACATTTTCAAAAATAAACATAATTTTATAGTGAAAATAGTAAAAATCAATAAATGACAATAGTTAAAAAAAAAAAATAATTTTTAAGTAAATACAAATGTTTTAGTCAGGGCTTGAAACTGTTATCAAATGTTTTTTTTATACCCGTTACCGGTTTTCAGATTGTCTTATTGTTAGTGGTAACTATAATAGCGATGTAGATGTAAAATTACCGTACGAAATATTTTCGAGACAATACAATAGTAATTAACGGCTAAACCGGTGAATCAAACGGTTTACGAAATAATTATTAAAAGTAATCAATAAAATAACTAAAACCCGTATTGGCAATACGCGGTATATACGCAGCATTGGTAAACTTACCGATATATCAATATTATATATATCTTCTTTTAAAATTATATCCAACAAAAATTGATTTTTTAAGAATGATGAATATGTATGGTTGTCGTGTTTTAATTCGAATCCGCCGTAATCTTTCGATGATGCTTTATTACTCCTTTTTTGTGACCGTGTGTTCTTTAGTATATAGATATCTATAATATATAGGTATTAAGTATATAAAATAGAATGTGATGGTCCTATTACTTGATTACAAAACATATTACAACATTATGATGGGAATATTATTTACGAGTACGACCGTCCGAGATACATATCTTCAAGTATCTATAAGTACATATTATTTGTATATTTATCTATAATCGATGCTATATAGTAATTAATATGCGTACGGTAAAAATAATAACGAAAACGCTGCGCACTGTGAAATCCGTAGTGTGCGGGTATTAGATATGTAATCTTTGCATCGGTTGCAGAATCTATACAAAAAAAGCCAATAAATAAAAAAGCACGATATTATATAGGTAGCGGGTAATATTTGTTAATACAATATTATTACTTATTTAAATCCAAACGGAAATGATAATAATATAAGTACACACACACACACAATAATATTATTCAAGGACAAGACGCATGGGTATTATATTGTATACCCATATATTTTATATATATATATAATATATGAACCGTTCACCGTACCAATAACGTGTGTGTAATGCAATGAAGTAATATATTAATATAATATAATTTATATAAGTTGTCTCGAGATATATCCTTAAACATTGTACTATATATACTTATTATAAGTTATGTGACGTGCATTTATGCATTATATCGAACTAATATAAAACATATTATAATATACAATATTGTCAAAGGATTTCGTTACACGCGTATCTATAACTGTATATCGAATATGCGTACGGTATATTATGGTTTGTTGGCGATTCGTTTTCGAGTGTATATAATGTATATTATGGTGGATATTGTTTTAAATGCAATTGGTCTCGATATAAAAAAAAATTAATAGAAAATACTGTTGGTGCGTGCACCACTGTTTTAAAAGGGAACTGGGATTGGATTATATATTGACTTATTTAATTTAAATTAGTACGCAACGATAAACCATTGATAACAAAAAAAGATTCTAAGCAGAGTATTATTAATCGTATTTGTTGCTCTCGTTGCCAAGGTAACCCAGAAGTCAACAAAAAATTACCAGTTTTACGATTTTTTTAAGAAATTTACAAGGACAATCAAAAAATGACCTCCCAAATGCACTGACTAGATGAAAGATGCTACAAGAAAGTTCCTAAAAAGTTTTTGATTGGAACACGATTTCTGGTAGACATATTGTTTAAAGAACACATACACACACACAAACAAACCATCAAAACCAAATACATTGCTTGCTTCGTGAGTTTGTAACTTGCATTAAAATATAGATATGTAATTTACACTACTATAGGTAGCCGAAAATAGTGTTTGTAATTTGCACCAAAATAAGGGTATGCAATTTGCACCATCTTAAGTAGTTAAAAATAGTGTTTGGCATTTGCACTATAAAGAGTATCTACTTATTCGATTATCAAGTGCCTATTCGATTGATCCACAGTAGTATACTAGACAATTTTAGCTGACCTATACCACTATTTTTAAAAATCCAAAAATTATTGTTTTCTTTAAAATAAGTTTATCTTTAGAATATTCTGTTAGAAAGATTAGAAGATTAGAAAGATCATTTTTTATAATTCAATCAGAAATATTAAAGCCACCTGTCAGGGGTATACGCCATGATCAGGTTTATGAAGAATTTTCTTCAGATATTAATTTTACTGTTATTTGTTTCAAAAATAAATTTGTATAGACATTAATAATGTGTACTAATTTAGTAGTCATTAGTTTATATGTTATAAAATTACACCCAAGTTCGTTATTAGGTAACACAACTTCATTAAGTATGCATAAATAATTATTAAATATTCACTTGAAAGTTTTCCCACCGATTCCACTTGAACTGGAACTCATTTTTCTGGGCGAAATATCAAATAATCACTAAGCCATTTTAATCTATTTTTTGCTTTCTAAAAAGAAATAAAATAAAATCATTAAGTAGGTATCTATAATTTTTGAAAATTATCAATTGTTGAATAAATAAAATAGTCAAAATTAGCAATATTATTAGGCTATATTAAAAGTGTTAAAAGAAATATTTAGTAGACAAAGTTTGTGCTTATAAATTATTTTTACTAACAAAATTATAATTTAAACAAGATTAATTAATTTAGTGGTACACTATAATTATAATTCGATGGTCAATCACTGTTAATTTACAATAAAAACAATATCAAAATAATGTTAACTTTATTCCAGAATATGAGATGTGGCAATTAAATAACAAAGTATTTTATTATAGTTCTTCAAATTGTCACATCAACAACTTTGTGATAGGCTTATCGAAATGTTCAAAAGTTTTTACTGAAGTTTTATAAAGTTTAATCGCGATCAGATGGGGACGCGTAACTTTGTATAATAAAGTTGTATAATAAATTGTGCGAGACTATTTAATACAAGCCAATACGTATAATTATACCGGGTCGTGAAGAGGATGGGCAGGACGAGCCTCCAGGTTGTCGGGTTTCTGGAAAACATGATATTTAAAATATATATTAGCTGTAACAGCTGTGTATTACAAAGTTTTTTAAAGTTTTGATATTATGCGCAGGGCTGTGCCTAGGGGTTGCGAGATGTGCCAACGCACCGGGTGCTATGATAACAGGTGTGCCATTGAACATTTTTAAAGTTCTGTAATTAAATATTATTACAATGAACGTGAACGGCCAATGGACAGGTTGAGCTTTTTTTTTTTTTTTGTTCATTGGTAAATTGACACTGATTATGCATATATGGTATATTATATGTGTTATGTTAAATAACTCAATATTGTTAATTTTATAATATGTTTGTCGTAGTCTTTTGGTGGTACTTACCTGTTGTCATCCCCGAGATAGTAAAGTCATACCCGTGTATCGAAAAGAATTGTTCACATTTGTTTTTTCCCTGTTATCGAAATAGGAAAAACAAATTCATTCCGGGCGCACCTAGAGACCCAATAACTGTCGCTCGCTCGGACTATTTTAATCGAACAATACTCCTCGATTTTTTGTACAAATTTTTATACCAAAAATCTTGCTCCGATGTATCGAAGTGTCGCACCTTTACCGAAAGGAAATTTTATCTACATGGAACTTTAGAGAGGTCATTTTTTGATTTTCTAAGCGGTTTTCAATATTGAAAAAAAAAACAGTGATAAAATGTCGGGAAAACGGGAAAATTTACATATTCGATTTTATAATTCAGTTAAAAATAATCGTAAAGTGACTTAAAACTTGGAGTGAAATATTAAATTTATGTATTTTCTAGACGCGGTAAATCTTTAAAAACATTTGAGTCATATTTCAGATACTTGTATTTATAGACACTTCGCTAGGCACGACACTGGTTATGCGCATTTTATATGTGTTATGTTAAATAACCTAACCAACGATATCGAATAATATGACCTTCAGAAGTGCATTTAGGATGAATTTCATTTCGAAAATGTCTCGGCCGTGCGAAAGTCCGCTCACCCGGTCATTTCGGAAATCTTCTAAAAAAATATAGAAGTCTTTTAAACCGACGGCGACGTACATTTCCGTACATAGAGCCGTACCCGCCTGGACATGACGCGCGCTAAAATATAATCGATAGGCCCCGGTGCAATAACCAGGTACGTCCACTTTTCAAAATATCTCCGTAAAACTGCGGGCGCGTCGTGTATAACAACGCGTACGGTGGCGTAAGTGTATTATACACGTATCGATGGGGTGGCGGCGGCGGCCGGAGGACGTGTTTATATACGTCTCAATGTACATAATAAACGCCGAAATAATAATATTGTAATAATACGCGAGTCCGTCTGTAATATTATTACGATAATGTTATACCCGTAATGTTTACATTTGCGGTGCGTCTACGTGGCGCCTGCAGAGCGCGGTCCCGTGTGTGTTCGTGTACACAATAATATTGTAATAACGTTACAGGCCGGTGGAAGCGGAACGACGTGATAATATTGTTGTAATGCGCGCCGTACGATGATAATAATAATAATAATAACAACAACGACGATTCGTGTGTGTGTACCGTGGTACCGTGTGCCAGTGAAATATGACCGCGGGTTCGCCCGTCGTCGATTAGCCGCGTGCGCCCGGGCGGTTATGACGTACCCGCGTAGACGACCGCGTCTGTCGGGAACACGAATTTATCAGGACACCGTGTCCCGGTTAGGCGAAAAGGGAATCGCGTGTATCTTCTCGTATATTTCCCGCGAACCAAACAGGCGTACTAAAACATTTTAGGACCCGGATTTCAATGGTAAATGCATCATTTTTCGAGCGATATTGGACAATGTTTTCCGAGTACGTAATTCGATTGGTGTAACAGAGACTTCAAAGGTGAAACTTTTATTTCGCCTTTTAGATCGCGAGCGTAGCTATTGATTTTACTAAGATGTTCATTTTTTTTTTTTTTTTTTTTTCTAGTCCGTGGTTACGTTTTTTTCTATTAAACTTGCTCCGATTTTTACGTGTAGTAACTTTTATGAAAGCACAAATTATCTAGATGGTACTTAGAGAGGTCTTTTTTTGATTTTCGACGCTACTTTTCAAATAAAAGCTCTTAAGTGGGAAAAAACGCGGGAAAACTTACAATTTCACGGGTTCATTATTTTATAAAAATACGGACGACCTTTTCTACCAGAAAAAATGATTTAATTTAAAAATCATAGGATACCTTTTTTGTTTACTTTATTACGGTATCATCGCCTAAACTTTTGAGCCACTTTTGAGCTTTTAAGGAATTTTGATTTTTTGGAGGTTTTTTGCTTTAATTCGGTTATAGAAGAGACTTGAAACTTGGTAATAATACCATTATTAGACTTACCTAGACGTGCTGAAATTTCCAAAATCATCAGACTTTTTTTTTTTAATAAGCGTTTTGAAATCAAATTTAAACAAAAATCGTAAAAAAATTACGGCACTTCAAATTATGCATTACCGAACTGCACTCGGAATCGTCTTTCGTCAAGCAGTGGTTTATCGTTGCTTACAGATATAAATGAAATAACCTTATGTGTTCTACCTTTTCAACTTCTCACCTACAACAGTGGCCGCTCCCATCCCCAGTATCAGCTCTGTTTGTTTGCTTTTATTTTTTTATTTTATTGCATATATTTGTACAATATTAGAGTGTAATATAATATAGTATTTGTACTTTATACGACCATCGATTAAAGATACTTGGTATAATCTATGATACGACATAATAATTTAAATTTAGCTCATTTAAAATATTACCCATGTTTTTCGGGTTTTTCTGCAGTCAATAAGTCAAATACTACAGTCTTTGTTTTTGTCTTTGTTTATTTTAAAATTATTTTCTATGGAACCGCTATTCTAGTGCACACAATTTTTATTTATTGACTAATAATCTTAATATTTTATACAATTATTTAAATTTAATTAATATAATATAGATACAAATTAAGTGAGACTTTGATGAGTTATAACATTTTTTTTTCAGTGCTCTTGAAATTCCTCATATAATATTATGAAAATATATAGTTAATCATATGATTTCGGTTTTTTTTTTATCAAATTTTTAATGAGTTAATACACTTAATAAAGAAATTTATTATAGAATAAAATACTTTAATTTGCTATGGCTGTATATAAATATATATGTATATAATATATTATATGCACCTTGCCCCCCTCCCCGGTAAAAATTTCTGCGGGCGCCCTTGGTTTTAGTGGATCGTTATGCCTACATGACATTACGAAAATTGTCGGTTTCATTATAGGTAAGAATATTACACATCATTATAATTTTATCCGATTATTACAATAATAATCGATTTCACAAATTGTATCCACATCCGCCGGATTAGTTCGTCGGACTACGACCGTACTCCGAGTATTATAATAAAGCGTAATTAAAAAAAAAAAAAAACACTTAAATTCACCTATAATAATATAATATAGTATACACCCTGTGGCCTGTATGCGTGTGCGTGTACGTATGTGTGTGTGTGTGTGTGGCATATCAAAGGGAGCCGACTATTTTTGAGCCACCCGCGAGGAGACCGCAGCGGAACTTTATCATCGACCGACACGGACGCGGAAAACGACGACGATCGCGGGTATAGTAATAATAATATGTACTCCGAGTATTATAATAAAGCGTAATTAAAAAAAAAAAAAAAAAAAAAAAAACATCACCGTTTCGGTTCGCCCGTTAAAACATACACGAGCGTGTATATACATAGATATCCAAACCGATCGATATGAGTAATAATCCGAAACTGTAAATGCGCGTATAACATTACCTCTCCCCCCTCCCTCTCCTCCTGATGTATGCGCAGAAGAATCCGGCCGGCACTGCGTGGCGCTCGTGCAAGTATAATATTATATATGTATAGGTATATATATATATATATATACGTATATGTGGTTATTTACTATTTTTATTCGTATTATTATTTTTTTAAAACTATATTTCGATCCAATTTCTCGCGCGCGGACGCGGTCGTGACCGCCGGAGACGCGGCAGCGGCGGCGGGTTGGATACAAAAAAAAAAAAAAAAATAATAAAAATTAGGGCAGATAATGAAATATTCTTTGTGCGTTACCGCGAGCTATAAATTCATTATCTAATGCGAGATGACCGTGGGAACCGCGTACTGTTACAATACTGTTATTATTATTATACACTCTGCGGCGGCGGCAGTCTCGGGCGCGCGCGCGGAGCCGTACGCGAAGCCTCCGCGCCTGCGAATCGTTCGCGAACAGCGCGCCGCGGCCATAAATTTCTAGCTCATCATGAAATCAACAGTATACCTAGGTATATTTATATATATATATATATGTGTATACGATATATAATATAATAATAATAATATAACGTGTACAGTATGTGCGCGTATATCGGTATTATGTACACGAGTATCTGCATAACACACAATATGTTCTCGTGTGTACGCCCAGTGATTCAATCGGAAAACCGTATGTTATTATAATGTAAACGTTGCACGGGTATAATATTAATGTATAGTAATAGAGATCGAGCGGACACGTCGTATACCCCATGTCTAGCCGGGTAGTTGAGCGTTCACGCCGAAACCGAACCGCAATCCGAGTATGAAACGCTGCAGCAATCGGAACGCCTATAGGAAGCGATCAAAAGTGTCCGGAAATCTACTATAGCGAAAACAAATGATAATAATAAAAAATATCGTTTTCGAGTTTACGGTCGGGACTAGTGTTCAAAATGACGGGAAATTCCCGAGAAAATTTGTAAAAAAAAAAAAAAAACGTTTTTTACAAAACCGTGAAAAATTGGAAAAAAAAGATCGAATAGAGTAATAATTAATAATAAATTTAAGAAAAACGAGCAGGGGTATTTTGGCGATTAACCGGGTTATATTCATTATCGGTTATGGTTATATGATTTCGGCTGACGGTTATAGATTCGCCAAAACGACGTGTTTGTGGCTATTTTAGTTTATTACTAATAATATTAATTGATAATAAAAGGTGTACTGGCTGGATTTTTATATAAACATTACTTTATCAATAACCAAACATTATAACCGTTCATTTCGTTTGGTTATGAATTTATGATATTTCAGTAGCCTATTGCAAAAGGTTATAATTAAAATAATAACCAAAATCGCCCAAACCACTTGTTTATAAAATACAGTAATCATGTTACATTTGGTTTTACGCCAAAGTGCGTATATGGAGATATATTATAAACTTTCATAATGATAGTGATAAATGATAACATAGTAATTAATAATATTATGTATGTATTAAAATCAAATGTTTTCTATAATTTCATTATTGTTAAAAAGCACATTTTAAACTTTGCATAGGTATTCATAATTTGATTCATCGTTACTTTAGTCAGAGGACAAGATATCTGTGTATTAATATTATTGTTTAAAATTTGATAAAAGGTAAGTAAATAGGTTGTTTGTAGTTAATATTATGATAATGTATGTTGCTTTAAATTTTTTTTTCTCCTCAATTGTTTTCTTGATTTTTATTTTTCCGGAAATTTTCAATCTCTAATTGAGATCATAGACGTGTTTAGAATTTATTTGCCGAATCGGCCAAGACAAATCTCACGGAGAATGATTTTGACAAAAAAAAAAAAAAACCGATTACTATAGTAATAATAAAATAGTTATAATATATATTATTATATACTATCATTTATGAGCGAATGGAACGGTTTTTAAACATTTTGGCGAACGATTATCTATATAATGCCGACACAGAAAAGATTAATAATCATCGAGTTTTTCGATAGTGTTGTGCGCACGTCTCATAATATAATACCGCGCGGGTGGCCCCCCAGGGACCCTACATATATATTCGTATATACATATTCCGTGGTTCTTAATTATGCGATTTTTTTATTTTTTTTCATTTTAATTAGTTGTAGTCGTATAATAATATTATGTATATATTTATGCATTTTAATAATAATGATCGTCCGCGGTAACGTTTAAACTCTCGTAATTATGATGATTATTTTATAATAATAATAAATGGGTTTATATAATAATATAATAACGATGATAGCGACCGATTAGCTCTATTTATTTTCGTATTACGCAGATTTTGTTATAACGAAATACATACTAATATTATATATATATATATATATATATGTATATATATATATAACTTGTTATAACTCTCATATACTAGCGCACCGATAAAAAAAAATCGTTCTTTTCCCATACAGCGTTTTAACGATGGCGCCTCGAGTCGATACAATTTATGACTTGTAGACTCTGCAGTAAGCGCCTATATGCGTATGAAATATATAAGGTATACAATTTGAACACGTATATCATTCGTTTGATTATCGCCTGCCGCAACTTAAAAGGTCGTATCTTTTTTCAACATCGCCCACGAAATAGGCCGTATATTTACTGATCCAAAGAATTAGAAAAAATGAAATATGACCCTAATCGTTGTGTCTAGTGATGAGCTAACTAGGACTAAGGCGGTTTTGGTCTTGGTTACCATCAACCTTGGTCTCGATCGTGGTCTTGCATTTTCAATTCTTGGTCTTGTTGCAAGACTTACAGAGACTATAAGACCCTTACAGTCTTGCATTATTTTGCACAATTTACAAAACAAATTTAATTTTTAAAAAAAACCCCCTTGCGATATTTCGAAAATTTTTTTTTTAGACATTTTAATGTAATAAATAAGCAGTTCTAAAATTTTATTTTACCATTATTTTTTTTCTCACTCATTTTCGGTAGTAAAACGACTACCTACTTATGGTTTTCAAACTGCCACCTATATTAATAAAATCATAAATAAATCGAATATTAGTTTAAATACGTGTTGAAATTTTTATTTTTGTCAACCCGTTGACGAGTTATTCCACATTTAAGTTTGGGTAGGGAGAGATTAGTGGAGGATCATTTGTGTAGCGGCATGGCGTGTGGCGTTTGAATAGTGCTTTACGTTCCCCCTATACCTAAATTTAAAAGTTAAATAGCTCGTCAAAAAAATGATGACAACACCAATGCTCTGCCTGTGATTCGTACAAATCAACAAGGCGTAATATTATGTACCAGTTTTAAAATGGATATGGTAAAATGTTCATTGTGATTATAGTCTTTACTCTTCCGCCGATTTTTGGCCGATAACAAAACAGCCGCCGTTCTCCAACCCCCCTACTCACCAGACTTTTCTGTTTCCCAAATTAAAATCACCTTGAAAATGAACCTTGATACTTGAACTTCAAAAAGTTAGAGTTGGTAGTTGATTATAACGACAGTTTAATATGTTCGTGTTTTGTTGCCAAAAATATTTCTTTTTACCTAATTTCGATCAATGTAATGGTTCACGCATAATTTTAAAAGTTTGGTATTTTTTTTGTACAAAATTATAATTTCTTCTTCTTATTTTTCTTATTTTCAGTTTATCGGTCCTCAAAGAACCTGCGTTATCACAAACATTCTTTACTATTTCCCCTGTTCATTGTCAATTCCGCTGACGCATCGTTTATATCCACTGTTCGAGTATATCATTTTCTTTAGTTCACCTCGTTCGTTATCTATGTAGTAGTCTTTTCTTACATTCTTATCGTTTCAGATATGACCTTTTTGATATAATATCATCTTCGGCTCTCCGTATATTTTTTTAAACCATTTCACGTTTTCTATCTATATGTTAAAACATTAAAATACACGTTAAACATTCGAAAATTTATTTAAATATTGATAGGAAATTAACCACTTGTACCTACGGTTTTTATTAAAATCATCCGTTTGGTTTTTAAAAAGAAAGGAATGTTTAAACAACCATAACAAAATGCAAAAAATGAACTATACACTTTGCGACGAAATCATCACTCCATCATCCTGACATCATGAGACTTTTTATTATAAATACAATTTCCGTGTACTTAGTGGCTCATAGTATTGTTTTTGAAATCTTAAAAATATATTTTATATTCGACTCAAGTAAATAAAATGCATTATGTGTGATTTAGATTGAAAGAAAAATCGTATAGTAATAGTAATAATAATAATAATCGCTATATGACCTAATCTCCGATTAAAAAACCGGTCGAGGTGCCTTGCGATGTCTCCTTGGAGCACGGGTCGTGATCCCGACAAAATAGTATTTTTATTATATTTTTGTTAAGATTAAATTACGCTCGTAATGAAAATTGTCAATATCGTGGTTCACCGCGGACAATCGTTTGTAAATATTATAGTTTTCATTTTTTTTTTTTTTGTATGAAGGCTTGCATATAATCCAACACGAAAATAAAAATTTAAAAACTAAAGTCAAAAAGCCAATTTGTGTGTTTAATAAATCAAGTTTTTACCTTATGACTTGACCGAAAGGTTAAGATAAATCAAGATAAAATTACTAAATAAATACTTATAGTTTTTGTATTTTTAAGTGAATGGAAGGGAGGGGATATCCCCTAACGTGCCACTTCGCATGCCATTGCACAGAGACGATTGTCGCCACTATATATAGGAATACCTACACAAAGCATGAGAAAATACAAAACGAATGGTTCGTTCGTTTTGTATTTCTATATATAACTATATATACACAAATGTCGTGCAGTTCATTTGTTATCGATTATTAAATTAATATTTATTAGCACCTTATAATAAACGAATTATTGTAAAATTAATCTTTAACTAGGACGTGTTGGGTATAAACAAAGAAAGGCGATTGTCGACTGCGTCCTCGGGGGTGGACCCGCTACCTCGGAGAGCGTATACGCAGATATAGCACGCCGGTTTTTGCACTATTATACCCGCGCGGTGAAAGGTTTACGAAAAAATTGCCCATAAATTAAATACCTAATTATTCGATAGATTAATTGCATCGATTGAGACGTATGGTACGCGTAACCGATCGTGTATATTATCATCATAATATAAGCGTTTATAAAATATACAAGGTGATTCATCAGGCTCGTATCGTTTCTGCCAAAAAATTTAGTTTTAGTTTTTATACAAAAATTATAAAAAAAAAAAAAATGAAACCAAAATAATAAATTTGCATGTATAGTAGTCATCGCGATGAGATTAGTAAAAGTTCGTATAAAATATTTTTGTAAAGTCAAAAAAAATTAACCTAATCAATAATTTAGCATGTAACAACATCATGTTTACGATTTCGCGGTGATACTCTTACACTATATATTATTACACTTCTATGAAGATAAATAAAATCTGTCAAGTACCTATGTTTGAAGCGTTGCACTTTATGGGAGTGAGTTGTGGACATTTGAGAAGACTAAAGAAAAATAGCTACACGCGTTCGAGGCGTGGAAGCTGCAGGATAATTCTTAAAACAAGTTAGGTGAATCGTATCGAAAACGAATATAGTCGTCCGTAGAGCGGGAGGGAAAAAAGTTTTCTTGAAACCCCGAGGATTAGAATGACTTAAATAAATGAATACGCAGTTCGCCTCGGTAATCTACTATAGTGTGTACAATAGAGGGATTAGTAGAAGGAAAAAATATCGACGAGTTAAGGTGACCGTTCGAAAACTGCACGGGGGCCAAGTAGTCGCGAGGATAAAGGTCGCGAATTAAAAAGCGGAGAAGCGCGGGGAACTGATTCCGACCAGCCCCCCCGGACGGTCGCCGCGAGAAGACGATTATAATTAATGTCGAAGTGTATACTGCGAAAATTTGAAAAAAAAAAAATTCGATATTCGAATAACATACGGCGTACGAAATCCGGTACGCCGTCGCGGAGCCGATATAATAAACGCCCTGTATGTTTATACATTATTAATATCGTCTGCGGCCGTAGATGACGTGTTAAACGTACACGCGTACGTTATATGTGTACGCGTGTTACTAATAATATTTTGTCCGTTTAATTCGTTTTCGTTTTTTTTTTTTTTTCTAACGACGTGGTGCGTATAGGTGCAGGTATACGTATAGCATGTTATGTGTACACACGGGGCCCCCGTGACCCCGTGACTCCGCGGGGAATCTCGTCGGGCGCGCGGAGAGGGTTGGCTGGCGTACGGTAACGATATTACGGTTATGACCCTGCGGACGAGTGCGCGGCCGGTACGCGCCTGTGACGTTTCGACGATGCGACCCGCGATGTGCGCCGCACACTATCGCGAGTGTAATGCCATGACGATGCGTGCCGCGTTGTTGAATGTTACGCGGAGCGGTCCGCGACGTCGGGAATCGTACGGCGGCCGTACAACAAGAGACGACGACGACGACGACGACGGTGACGCCGCGCTGTCAGCCGCCGGCCCGCCGCAGCCCGTCGTAAATAATTATTGAAATCTCGCGCCCCGGCCGTGCGTACCGCCGCGGTGTACGATACCTACCCGCGCGTCGATCGGTACGCATGTTTCCTATACATGTATATTGTATATACATACACAGTTGTACACGAGTCGTCGTCGCGCCGTGTAAAAACAACTACACGTCCAAACCCGAACCGTAACCATACGCGTGGTTACAAACGAGGTTACGAGGAAGCCACAAAGTCGCTAAAAATCCGTAACCTTGTAACTTGTAACGAGTTACTTTTAGTTTCCTCGCAACTTACTTATGACTTTTAACGAGTTAATTTTTATTTGTATCAAATAAGGTAGATACACGTTTGTAGTTTTCGTCATTTTGTCGCTGAAATCTCGCGACTCGGAATTTTTTTCCCCGAGAGTATCGAAACGCGTATCTAGCACGATGGACAAAAAAAAAAAAAAATAAGTTAAAAAAATTTTCAGTAATTCGTGAAAGTTTATTAAAAAATGGATTAAATTTTTGATGAGTAACTAATAACTATAGTCACTTAATGAGTTTCTTTTTTTATTCAGGAACTTTTAACATAACTAAGTTATTCTTAATTAAGCAAAATAACTGTAACCTACACTAAAGTTGATTAACTTGCCTAGCTTTGTACAGACTAAAGACGAGTAGATCGGCCGAGTTGACAACCGCGTAGTGAGAAAAATCGAAATTATTGGATCAGAGTTCTTTTGTAACGATAGTTAGGCGTAATATCCTATGAGACGTATCCAATACTAAAACGGTACGACCGCACAGCATTAAGATGAGCCGATCAGAAAAGAGACACGGCGAGTCGCAAACAACTATTCCTTTATAGATTTCAAACTTGGCGGCCGTCATATATAATTAATTTATCGAATTATGAATTTAAACATCTTATCGCTCTGGGAGAAATGGGTATCATCTTTTCACCGGTATTCGAGAACGAGCACTGATAACGCGGTTGAAAAAAGTTGTAGACATATCGTGGGAGTACGGGATGAGCCTTTTCTTCGTGATCCCCGGCGCCGTCTTATAGCGGATACTTTTGGAACTAGTTCTAAAAATAACCTAACCGTTAACAGTGTCGGGAGGGGCTTATATAAAGAAAAAATAACCCGCGTTCTTCGCCCTACCAATATACCTTTTGTGGCTAGTCCGCCACGTCCCTCCTTCCCCGTCGTGTATTATAAAGATGTCTAAGAATAATATGTATAAAAAAAATAACTATTCCGGATTATAATTGTATTTTCAGAACGTAACATCGGACGCTTTTTTAAACGATTATAAATTATAAACATAAAAAAAAAAAAACGGTTTTCGTTAGTATTTTTCTGGTTTATGCCCCAATATAACGCAACGATAACTGTAAGCACGCGCGCCGACGAAAGGTTTGCGATATATTTTAAGACCTATACCTATATCGTTTGCAATATATAATATAGTCGTAGTTAATCCGACGTTTATAATTTGTAATTGACACTTTGTATTAAAAAAAAAAAAATTAAAAAAAAACATATATGTATATATAGTTAGAAATAATTTATGATAATATTATTATTATAATTTGCATTTATTGATTATAATATGTATAATACTTGCGTATATTATAATATCTCCCATCGTGAATGGCAGCATGATATTATATCAACGCAATCAAGTCGTCCACATATTATTATTTGTTATTATTAGTTATATATATTTTTTTTTTCTCGGAATATTTATATACCCATAAATGTTTGAAATATCGTTTAAACAGTGAATATCGAGTTAGGCACGTTATCAAAAAGTCGCATACGTAACGCGTGTTGAACGCACGACGTGCGTATAATATAATAGTCACAGGTACTATCTAACCTAACCTAACCTGTTTGTAAAAATATTATATATTTCAATCTGTACGCACGCTGCATTATAATAAGTGTATGCAAATTAACTATAAATATTGAAATAGACAGAGTGAAATTTTAATGGAACGTTTTAGATTTTTCACCGTGGTTGTATATGCGCGCCATTATTGATATTTACCATAGAACTGCAACCGATATTCAACTAGGGTGATTATAGCGTCCTCGGTATGTAAAATGCTATAATATTTGTTCATACGCCTACCTATAATAATTAAAATTGAATATAAAAAAAAAATAATAATTTCAACTGCGTGCGCGTATTGTGTGCGATTGTTTCTATAATAGTGTTTCAAAAAAATATTTTATTTCATAGCAGTATTGGTTAACGATTTTTGTGGTTCGTACAAAAACGATATGTAATAAAATACACGTACACACACACAAATTTTTATTATGCATATTGTATATATTATTTGGTTTAATGCTCCGGGGCTTTATTATTTAAACCACCCAAATGTCTGTATAAACATACTTAACAGCGTACTTACATTTCTTACATACTATAGAGATCATACTCGTATGCAGTATACATATATATATGTTACAGTTAATGCCGTTATAATTATACTTTAACCTATATTGTGCTGTTCATTTTAATATTTGAGTGTATTGGCCTATCAACTAACTTAATGGTATACATGTTTTTTTGTGTTTGTACGTAGGTTTTTTTCTCGATATTTTAATTTTTAATCTAGATTCGACGGTTTTGAAATTTTCATATTTCACTTGTTTGTAACTCACTTGAAAATTAAAACACCGAGAAAAAATCAATGTATGAAAATTGACAATGTTCTTACATTTAAGTTAGTTGATGATAGGCTTATACACTCTAAAATCAAAACTAACAGCACAAAATCGGTTTTTATGTACAAAAAGTATAAATATATTGACATTACCTACCGATTTTACAATATTAACCCTAACATGTATATATAATTTACACGTCGACGAAGTCGCACTTCCAATGAACTGCATTTCTACCCTTAATTTGTAATAGTAAACTGAAACGTATCGTTTCAAAATCTTGAGACTTCTAATTTCCTAAGAGCTGTCTAATTAATTGTGCGGCCACGATTATCTATCCTCGAGAAAACCTTTGAATTTCGTTTGCTACTGTAGGCGGTATCGTACCGTGGTGAATTTCGTCGTTTCTTTCGAACCGGTAAGCTACAGTTGGATGGTTCAAAGAGAAATGTGTTTTGACAGAGTTGTAATACATAAATTTCAGACTTACTTGCAAAACTCTACTGTCGAATGTTATAGGTCCGAATAGGTTTTATAATCACTACGTATAGTAGACGTTTGTTTTCTACATTCAACTCGGATCGGGGTCCGACTGACCAATAGACTATTAGAGTCTCCACAAAAATGTATAAAAATATACTTTTGTATATTTTATTGTTTTGACGTTTTGATTTTGTGTGTGGAACACGCAGTGAAGCTGCTCCATTGCCGTTGTACTCTGTTGACACTATACTCGCATTGTGCATGGTCAAAACGAAATTATGATAAAAACAATTTTTTTAACGACGACATGTATAATAACAACACGTGTAGAAAACGTATTAATGAGTTCGAGTACCTATAATACAGGTAATTTATTTATAATAGACCGTATATTAAAAATGTGCAGAGTTACCTGCATATACTGCAGGTCACGACATTTGACGGTATAATAATATAATGTAACGTTATTGCTCGTAATTATGGGTAATTTTTTAATTTAATTTTAAACGGATTTAAAACGTATTTATTTCTCTTTTTTTTTTACATATGAGTAATGATGATGACACGTTGACACTACTTACGCGTGCTCGTAATGACTCGTAAATTGTTTTTTTTTTAAGTCGAAAACGTATTCGTATACACTATATATATATGATACGACTTATCATATAACCGAATAATTAATCATCTTCGCAAAAGATTATCGTTCTCGAGCACACACCGCCGACACCGGTCAGGTCTCGGTTGAATTTTCACGAACGGCATCGCCGCGTGTAACTATAGAAAATTTATTACCACCGCGTATAGTATTATTATAATATTTGTTTGGCCGATTGAAAATTACGGGTTTTTTTTTTTTTGCTTTCTATAATTTGCTAGTCATAATAACTCAAATGCAGCCTGTTATCGCCGTGCAGTATTCGCGTATAGTATAAGTAGGTACATCAAAGTTATTATATTATAATAACAACGGATAGGTGCGTCTTGAATTATGATCGAGTTATCATACTTGTAAAAAAAAAAAAAAAAATGTACTGCAAGCGTACCCATGTACAAAGTGCGTATACCTACTTTTAAAGTTGAGTACAGTGTTTAACTATAACGTTTGTTTTGCGTTTGTGCGGATATTCTGCACTATAATATGATGGCACGCGCGATAAATCCTTCGGAACGGTTTTTTAAACGATTATGATTTATTGGCAGGACACACGTTGTTATTAGACAGATATACGCGACGAGGGAGGGGATGGGTGGTTTCTGTAGACTCTAGAGCGTTTAATTAATCCGTATAAACGTGCAACGTAACATATTATCAGCTATATGAATTATGAATTTAAGTATATATTATTATTTTTTTTTTAGATTCTGAGCGAAGCGAGGAATGTGTTTTACTCTACTCGGATGTGTTAGTTTTTTTTTTTAAATTTTTTCTTTTTGTTCCCTGTAAACAACATCTATAACAAATCTCAATTCAAATAAAATTCGTGTTGATTTTTACACTAGCACCGGTAGTACGAAATAAATAAAACAATTTCGAAACAAATTTTGGATTAGAAAAATACTTCAATTTTTCCACGCAGTACTTATATCTCAGTAGATGCGGAATTTCGGTCCGGGCGGTACCTATTTAATAATTTTAAACATCATTTGTCGAAATGTTCAGCGGTTCACTTCTTATGCCATTTGTTTTGTTGTCGTTTGATTTTTGTTGGGTTATCTTAACAACATTAAAGAGTGAAACACGACTGATAAAACTCCGCTCAGAATCGTTTTTTCGTTTACAATGATTCATCGTTGCATATGCAGTATAATATAAACTATATATTATCTGTATATTATATATAATCTAACATCTTTCTAACTATACCTACTTACAACAGTAACCTACCCGCGTGTGATCTGCAGTATCGACTTTTTTTTATTTATGTAATCATTGATGTAATTATTGTATTATAAAACGCTTAAAAATTATTAGGCCCGTCGACTCACACGCATCCCCGATTTATTACATACGGTTTTTCGTTATCCGTCTGCGCGCGGTAATCGCCTAATTGTATATTAGTCTCGTGCTCATTTGTAATATATGTATATAAAATATTATTCTCGAACGACGAGAACGAGTGTTTAATTTATTATAATAATTAATATAAAATATATATTCCTCTAATAGACGTAGAGATATTTGTTGTTTTCGGGTGAGGAGTGGGAGTGGTTGGGGGGGAGTTGAGCGAGACCCCCCAAGCAACAACCTAGTTACGTTATAAGGTATACATACCTGTACGTTATGGCGTTGTATTATAGCTGTTAGAACTGTGGCGGCTTCTAAAAAAAAAAAAAAAAAACATTCGAAACTTAAATCGAGGATGATTGCATAATGCATAGGTAATGTATAACACGGGATAAAACAATAAATTATTTCGCGTGCGTACAGTGTGATTATTGTAGTACTATACATGTATATAGACGAAAATCTTGTAAATCGGTTTCGTAAGAAATTAATCATTTTGCGTTACTGTATCCGGCGGAAAATTGTTTTGACCGTACGATTATTGAACAACAATGTGTGCTTTCGATTTGCGAAAAAACCTTTTCGGACAAAAAGAAAACACTATAATCGAAACACCTCATTTACCTCATTTAGCCATCATAGCTATTTTAAATTTAAATTTAAAGTTAGTATGCCAACTATTCAAAATGAAACATATGACGCTCCCAACGAGCGTTTTCGAACGATGTTCTATCGAAATGGTAATATACATCGACAAAAATTAACAGTTAGATAATATTTATTATTTTTGGATCTTGTTTCGAAATTCAACGTTGCCGACAAAATTTCTATCGGCCCAGCGTGTTTAATTTTACCGATTTATCCGATTGATATTTCTATTGTCAATTCTTAATGGCTAAGATTTAAGTTTATTTTAAATTTAATGTTGTAATCATCACGATCATGTTCCGACGCAATCTATATATATTTCGCTATCCAACAACTTTCCATACGGATCCGTTGTTTAATTGAATTTCGGAAGAGAAGGTAAGATTAAATCGCGTATACCAGGTATACGTCTTGTTTTTTTTTTTCAATTGGGGCAAGTATACCTTGGTTATCTTTTAGTGATGCGCATACACTGCAAGTACACAATATTCGTGAGTTGGCATAAACAATTTGTGTAATTGTAAATTACGAATACCAGAATATTTCCGCCGAAAACAATTGTAGAGTTAGAGACATTCCGGAAAACAGTAGGTATATATTATAATATATATACGTATTGTTTTTTTTTTTTTTTTTTTTTTTTTTTTTTTTTTTTTTTATCAGCGTCTTTTTCCGGCACTGTAGATCTGCTGCAGCCTTATTATAATATTGTTGGATAGTTAGTTTGTCAACTCGCGGGGAGACGGTAGCGATAACGATCGCGAAAAAAAAAATTGATTCGATACTTGCGCATTAAACGTTCGACATAAACTTTAACGCGACCGTACTATTTTTTTTTTCTCGCATATTTTTGCATAACTAAAATCGAATCGACGGCGGCGGTGGCGGTCATGATGTTGTTGTTTCCCTCGTCGCCGCAGCCGCCGACGTCGACGTTACGGGACACATTGTGTGTATGTATGTGTACGTTTATATAAATATATAAGTGTTGTTCGTTTTCCGTCCTGACGACAATCGTCGTCGTCGCCGCAGCCCCAATTGTGTACATACCATTGTAAAATCGACTTAAATTTGCATAATATTCAATATTCGTCATTAATGGGAAATTATTATATTATTATAATATTATCATTTTACGCACCACCCCCCCCCTTCCCCCTCGGTTGTATCGGTTGGTCGAAAAATAATATGCTGGCTGCCCTACGAAGATATACCCCTTGAATATTCCCGGAGATAATAAAGATAATCAAATTTTTGATTTTTGTTTTGTACTACCCACAGGGATGAGAATTACAAAAATGTGATTCAAATATTAACATTTCTAGTTTTCATCTCTGTGTATACAACGTTCTCAGACCCACGAGAGAATACGCCTTTCCTCTCCCCCCTCTCGGTGTGTGTATACAAACGTATATAGCGTACCTATATGTGGTACACACACCCACGATCCACATCATTATTTTTGATAAAATTATATTTTTGTCGAATTAACTTGGTCTAACTCTACCACTCTCGCGATTAATGGTAATAAAATTACTGATAAGCATGAAAATTTGATTGCGGTAACCGTTTGTTTTTGAGTTTTTTTAAATACTATATGATATAAAAATGATGTTTTTTCAAACGCAATTACAGTTTAAAATTAAGCAGGACTTACTTTGCGTCAAGATTAGGTCACTGCCACAGGTGAAAAGTCGAGTAGGTGTATAAGATTATTATATTGGATAACTGGGTTTGTAAATTGAACGCAGCAATAAATCATTACAACCAAAAACAGATTCTGATCGGTATTCGCTGTAAACTGGCAAGGTTATATTATAGTGTTTCTTTCCCTTTAAATTAAACTAAGATAATCCAGAAATAAACGAAAACAAAACTATTGTATCGTCATTTGTTGTGGGTGTTTTACATTTTTTAGTAAAACTGTCCGGAATCTAAAAAAAAATATTCCAATGAAATAGTATTGCGGCGCGCGAAATTCGCATCTTTTAAAGAACGACGTGATTAATTCGACGCATTTTCAACCGAGATCAACAAATTTTATAGTAAAAAAACCATAATATGTATTACTTTTCCAATGGTCATTCATGCGTGTATTATATAAGATTCGTTTCGTTGTTTTACTTTTTTATAAGCTGCGGTTTAAGAAATACGGTCCATTATAAAATGAAAAGCATTTAATAATTTTTCGCGCGTTTTCTGTGATATTCATGTCTCATATTTTCCCCATCATTTTTTCGCCCCCAGACACATTCAAATCCCGACCACAATCGTTATTATTAAATTATTAAATTATTATTGGTGTTTCGTCTGCCGTCGTATAATACACACTATATGTACGCTCATAATAATAGTAATAATAATAATAATAATAATGTAGGTGTACTGTTATCGTCTTCGTCGTCGTCGTTGTGATTCTGTACACACACACACACACACACATACACACTGAAATGTAAGCATGTAGGTACACTTACTGTAGTGGGTTTTGTGCTGCTGCAGAGACTCGCGGGCCTGAGTGTGTATACGGACTCTCGATAAGTTCTCATTAGCGAGGGACAACGTGCCCGGTGCGTATATATACGTATACGCGTATGTATACACTATAGGTACATATTTATATATACATATATATATATATATTTATAGACACACACACACACACACACACACAATATATCATTTTATCAGTGCGAATAAAACCGGGTATTATTTAAATAATTCGATGTGTGCGCCTCCGCCGCGAATGGAAGAGTAAGAAAAAAAAATAAAAACTCCCCCCGCGCCAGTGCAGTGCAGACCGGAGGCCCGGCCCTCGGGTTAATTAAGTCTTATTTATGCGGGGACGTTTGCCGATGTTCCGCGCAGATAGTGCGGCCGGGTTATCCGACGACGACGACGACGACGAGAGCGCCTCCGTGTGCGTCTATATATTTATATATATATATATATAATATACCTTCTATAATACGCTCGTGTAGTATTTTTTTTTTTTCTACATTTTTTTTGCCTTTTTTTTTACACACACACACACACTACTACGAGTTTTCGCTGTTTTAATATATATACGTTCGTCGCTACTGGAAGTATTTTTTCTTGTAACGCTACTTGTTGTATTATAACGTGTGTATATTATATGTTAGGCGCGCGCGCGCGCGCGCTCGCCTGTAATATACAAAACGGATAATATATAGGGAAGAAGAATATATATATATATATGTATGAAAAATCGACGACTAGTTTTTTTTTAAAATATATACTTTTTTTTATTCTTCTTAGGCGTCGTCGTCGCGCTACGTCGCATTATGTACGCACAATCGCAGCGTACACTATGCATACTATACACACACACACACACACACACACACAAGCACTGCACCGGTATTATTATTGGTGCTCGCGACAGATAATCTTCTTCGGGTTCGCCCGACGACGACGACGTAGCGGCGTATAATAAATCTACTGCCGCCGCCGCCGCCGCCGAGATTACTCGACGACGGTATTATCGTGCACTATTTACTCGTTTGTATTATAATACCAATTATCGCGTCGTGAAAAAGTCGCTTTTAAAAATACCGAAAATCGGTACGGAATCCGGACGTAAATATCCGGGCGCCCGTGTTTCGGCGATACGGTTTTTAGCGACCCGGTTATAATATACCGTGTGTGTTCCTAAATTCAGCAGATCGGCCAGCTGTTAAATTTCACTGTACCTAAACTCGGCTGCTGACCAATCCGTCGGTGAGGAAATGATCAATCGGTTTGTTTTATCAGCGATCCGATATTTTGTGGATGGAGTAGTGTTTAACCAGGTGGATTTGATAAACATTTTACGCGCCAATATTAAAACTAGTTTACTAACCTATATTTGACAAACAAAAAAAAATATTTTGTGTACTTGTGTTAAAATGTATTGTCTAATGTGCTAACGTGTATCCATATTCCAATTCCAACACTCGACTTGTATAATGGAAATACGGTTTTTGTGTACTGGAAATACTTTTATAAAACATTTAGATACTGTCTCGATTTGTATACCTTGTAATCAAATGTTTTATACTTAGATCTCGATGATAATAATGAAAAATAATAATAAAATATTGGTCATTATGGCCTATTGGTTACCTTAAATAATTGTATTAACCAATATGTTTCAACTGAATAGCAAAAATAGTGTTCCTAAACTCTATCAATCTGCTGAACAATCCGTTGGATTAGCAGATTGATTTAGGAACACACAAATTCTGTAGTCCACGGACAAATTGATTTGGCGATATCGTTTATTTCGATAATTATTGTTAGATAACTAAACGCTGTTCGGCAGCTGGGTTGCCGGAATATGCAAACTGCATTTACTGTATTTTCGGTGGTCACCGTGTATAACTACTGCGGTATCATATCATAACTTTTTCCATCAAAAGTCACCGATGACACCGCTGATAATATTATGTGAGCGCCTAGAGCACAACGGGTATAAATGAAATTTTATTGATTCCGAGAAAATCCAGTTTAAAGTTATTTGTACATAATATTATTATCATAGCATATTATCGTGTGTATCATAACTGTTCTTATATTCGAATGATAAAAACAATTGTTAGCCACTTGGCAGTAAAAAGACCTAAGCGTTGTATTGAAAGCTGTTCTGGACCCTTGTACCTATTTACTTCTAATCTGTAGTATTATGCCATTTTCATTTGGAGACTTTTAATGAGATCTAGTATTTGATACTAGATCGCAGCTCATGGCGAATAATTTTCTTATATTTATTTACCCCAAATAAAATGGAATATTTTTAGTTCAGCTGTGCTCTTAACTCAGATTTTTTTAAACAATTTCACTTATGGTATACCCCTTGTGTTCTAGGCGTCTCATATATCTGTGGCTTGGTGCAAGAATGAGCCAACGTTACATTTTATGATTGTCGGTAAATGGGCTTTAAAATTTTAATTTTTTAGAGGGCTCTGTGTATTTTATTAAATATACATGTTTGTATAATTTTTAATTTGTACAACAGTTAAAAAATAATTTTGTAGAATATCAAAAATTGTGCCCTTTTTTTTGACCGATTTGTTCACTAAATTGACATTGGCCTTTCTCGCGCCGAACTACATACATTATATATTATCGCTTATCAGTGTTCAAAAGGTCGTTCGAATGGAACTATGGATTTTTTAATTGTTTTTATACGACGCCCATTACTTCATATTTGATATTTATCTGCGATGGTAATTTAACCATAAATACCGAAATTGACGTTTCTTTATTATATGTTGTTATGAAAGTGTTACCTCTGTTGACACTACCACTGATGCAAACTGATTATGACAAAACAATTATGGGAACATAATATGGATACTATTGTTCTATATTACTGCCATGACTGCACTTTCATATATGTTTCTATCGAAATTCTCTGTAATACCACAACGTCTGTTATAATATTTGCTGTAATATTAACACGTCTACTATACTGTCAACAGATGAATGCTGCATTTCGTGTGATAGTTAACTGTCGTACACTATCACAGTAATCAACATCATCGTGTGTACTTGTAGGCTTAACACACATTTAAAATATTTATTTACGCGTAATGCATCTATGTCAAATAAAAGTAGTTTACGAGTTACTAGGATATTTTCGTTTCGGAATGTAAGCAGAGGAGAGTTCACTTTTGTCAAACGTATTTATAGGTACCTAGTATAATATTATATATTATTATAATTAAGGGTTTCTAATTGGAAATGTGAATTAGTGTTCTGGGTTACGCCCATTTTCAGACACACCGGAACACCCACAAAATACGGCCTTGTATTTATTATTATTATTATTATTATACAGCTGTTTGTCGGACACTTATATCCGTTTCAGACGTCGGTAGATTTTCGTTTTATTATTATTATTATTGTTTAGGTAAATGACATTACTATACATTATTATAATATGTTTTTAACGCTTTTTTCCCGTACGTGTTTTCTCGTGTGTATTTTAAATACTCTCAAACATGATATCATGAGTAGGTATATTAAATATAGGATAAATGGTAGGTATTTTATAAAAAAAACATTTCTGCCGTCGAACATTCCTCCTGGAAATAATTCAATGATAAAAAAAAAAAAAAAAAAAAACGGTTATTCCAACGAGTAGATATTAATTGTTTGATACGTATAAATATATATATATATATATATATATATATGTATACGGAAAAGACCGTCGCGTCATCGTGGTGAAGTGCATAATTGCACTGAGGCGGGGGAGTGTGCATGCGTACGTGATCCGTTCGGAATTATATAGGTACGCTTTAAATTAATATTTCCGTAAGAAACTAACGCCCGTGTGAACAACATATTATAATATTAATAATAGTATAGTAACGATACATCGTAAAATATAGACGGGTCCGTATTATTATTGTTCGATCTGCCGATTATACTGTTGAAAAATAAAAAAAAAAAACCGCCGAAGAGTTATTACTTTGTTAAACGATTATTAAACACAATATTACACGTGCGGTGTGTATTATATGGTAATATTGTATTAGCGCGCTCGATGAATTCGATTTTCGTTTTAATCAGATTACCGCGCGGTAACACATTACAATAATAAAATACACGACCTTGGGCCGAAAAGGGCCGAACTCGTATCTCGGTGAAAACGGGGTGTAGGGGTTGCATACCTAGTAACGTAACTTTGGACGTATTTTCTCCTGCGGTGCCAGAGATGGGCGTGATTCGACAACTTAAATCAAGAGAAATAAATATACCGAAGTCGAAAACACAAAAATATACTGTGACGCCATTTCAAAATTGACCAGTCTAACTGCATTTGAATGCAGTCACGATTCAAGAAACCGAGTTTAACTCGCCAAGGTCCGGATAAATATCCAAGGGCTGGGCGTATCTAATGTCCTTATTAATTTCCGAAAGTTTTTCTTGAAAATTAAAAAACTCGACAGCAATTAATGACAACGGTATATTTAGCTTTCGTTGATTTGTGAGTTATTTTATGGCCTTACAAAATGGAGGGGGAAAGGGGAAACGCGACTGGCCGATTTACCGAGTTCCACTATCACAATAATTTTTTATTTTTATTGCGATGCTTTATTGTTAATTCCAATATGTAAACTAAAAATATTAACCTAATTTATATTATACGGTTTTTTAAGACACATATAAAAGTGGTGGCCTACCTCGGTATAAAGTATGACCGCGGACGGAACGGCCGAATACATTTTGGAGTTCTTGTTCCGAATTCGTTCAAACCAATATTAAACTTACCTACCATTCCATAACCGTGTCGTATATAATGTGTAGGTACATTATTGTTGTTATTGTTATTGTGCGGTAATAACATCATGACTTCAAAATCCCGCGTCCTTCTTTTTCGACGCCATCTTCAGTTTTATTCTCACGCTCGATATAATACGGTTTTGTACGTTAGTCTTTCACGATGTCTTACACCATCGCGCAACAGTAAGTTTCGCGATTCATTCAAGTTGGCGACATCGTTTTTTCTCCAAGAGATTTGTTAGATTGTCCCGGGCTATGTGTACGGTACATATTGCACTTTGTTGTGAACAGCTCCGCGAGATAAAATCTGCATGTATAATTGTATAGTATTTAGCGAAGTAAAGTGGGCTGTGCAACCATAGCCCTAAAATCAAATATAAATCGTCGCCTCGTCACGAAAATGTAAACGCCCTGAATCTCACATATCCCCCACACCCCAATTAATCGAAACCCTTTCTGTTGTTACTATTTTAATACAATTAAAACGGATTCTACAAACAGTACTAATGTAATGGACACGTAATACTATAATATAATATAATATAGTCATCTTATTTTAAGTCTTACTTAGATGAGACTTAACTGTGAGAAGAACATAATAAAACTAATTTTTATTGCTTGTCCTTTGGGCTGCTACTTGCTTTAAGGAGACCCCTGTAAAATCTCGATTTGCTAACTTGCCCGCTAGTTGCGCCATCTCCACGGATGTATGGGCAATTTTCGGAAATTATTTTTCGACTAAGTGTCTACTATACTCGTAGGTAAATTAATTGTAAAATTACCGAGTTCTTACCTTACATCGAATTTGGAGTCCCGGTGATTAGCAAAAATAAACTCTACTTTATATTAATATTTATTTGTTAACTTCAGTGTTTTCTACTTTCTCTTTTATCCATATAACATACATGCATTTTCATTAAATTCTTTATACATTTTTAAATTTTTTTATGAGAAAACATTCTATAAACAGCCGGAGTATTAGTTAATTAAAACACATTCTGGCGTTGTCGATTACGATTTCCGTAAACCCGTTGACGAGATATTTCACTTTTAAGTTTGGACAAGGGCTGAGTGCAGCGGAACATCGTTCGTGCGGCGGCACAGCGCGCGCGCGACGTTTGTACAGCGTTCCGCTACTCCGGCCCTACCGTTTCGGCCCCGGAAACAACGACAACGCGACGTTCAAGGGTATATTTCAATTGCGAAAAGTTTTTACGCGAGCCGTTTTTTGACACGCATTCCGCAGGACCCCGTATACGTATTATTGTAGTCATCCGTCCGTATACTTGTACGGCGGTGAGTTCGGAGAGTTTCAAGCGCGGGGGATTTACATTTAGTGTTAATACCACAATAATATTATATACCGCGAGTCGTAGGCGCGTGAATTAGCCCGATTTCTGTATAATGTTTACGGGCGATGTGTAAAACCGATCGGCGCTGTAATATAGTAACGCGCGCTTACTCCGACTGCTCACCGAACGCCGACGGATTTACGGGCGCGACCCGTGCGCCCGACTGTTTCCACCGCCCACGACCGTTCGTAAATTTATGAAACACAATCGGTCGCGTTTGATATTATAATGCGCAACTTTCAAAGTTCCTTGATTTCTCGAATTGAATTAACGAGACCCATTTTGACGCGTTGAACGGTGATAAACGCGTTTTAAACTGGTTTTTTTTTAATTTATCATTATTATTGTTTGTTATTATACGCTGTACACAAAAACGTTTAACCACTGTTCCGTGCGTTTGATATTATGTTTTTTTTTATTTATTTATTTTTTTCACCAGGCGTCTATTAATTTTTCCTTTTTTCTGTTGTGGTAAATAAACAAAAACGAGCTGCTATATCTTTGGGGTAGAGATCTGGTGTACCACTGTACCCGATTTGCGCACACAATCCGTTCCGCTGCAGTATACGCGTTTTGAATGTTATCATCAAAGCGAATTTTACAGTAAAATAAAACAAAAAACCAAAAATCGTAACAATTCGTGCAAAACTGCTGACACTCAGACCCACACAAATCACAAAGTACTTATGTACGATGACATACTACTTCGGCGGTGTATAACAAAAATCAAGACGAATGATAATAATTTGTATTTATACTTTAATATACTACTCGGAATAAATATTTATATCTATACATTGAACCAAATGAGATAACACTGTCCATCTAGTCAGTATTTACTGCTGAAATACACAAATTTATAGTGAAAAATTAAAAAATTACGTCATATTATACGAGTATAGCCATTATGATTATAGGTTAGGTTGCGTGTACAAAAAGAAAAAAAAAACCTAGTTTAAAATTCTGTAATATTGGGTATTAAAAATAATGAAATTAAGAAAATGAAAAAAAAAAAATCCGTATTATTATACTCGTGGATAATTAAATATTTATTAACTATCGTGTATATGCAAGGAGTTCAATTTAAGTTTCTGATTTTTAATTATCATATCAACCCGAATTTTTCGTAACATTTATAATTATATAATCGTATGTATACTGTGCACTGAATATACGTATTTTATTAATATATAAATTCCAGTTTGCTATGCAGTACGACTGTCCTGAACGATAAAACGTTCGTTCCCTCCCTCTCCTCTCCCCTCGTGACTTGAAGTGTTTATATACGTATTTATTAATTTTTATTATAACAACATAATAATTATTTTTTTTTTTTTAAATTAAATCTGTTGTGCGGCGTTGTGTAAAAAGTTGTAATAATTTACGATGATAAATTAATATTGCAGTATATTTCTATATAATAGGTAATATAAGGTACCTACTTGTTATTATTAATTTTTTGTACTAATTTTTTTTTTCCATATCTCTACACAGCTGGGAGAAAAAACATACTATGGATATTATCGCCGACAGCCGTGTAATAATTTCAATAGTTTTATATTAATGTCATCGACGATACACTTGGCGGATACGAGTTTTACGTTTCATAGGTTTTCTTATATTATTCGGTGCGTTCGCGTTTGTAGATACTACAGAACTAAGTATTTTAGCCGGATGTTCTCCTGCACGGTTTTGCCCGTGTCCATATTAAACGAAAAAAATTTAATTTAATTTAAAAAAATATTAACTGTTTTCCAGTGATTCCTCACCGTTGAATGTTGAATAAATCCTTTATAAATGATTGCCTTCGAGCCCCCAACCCCTCTATTTGTGCCTACGAACTATATTATGCTACGAACGAGGTCAAGAAATCTCAAGAAATATGTGTCCAACATTTTGGCGTTCATTGGTTCGGTAGGTTTCAAGTCTATAAATCACGAACGACCATTAATTTCTAAATTCCAAAAAATTATAGTAGGTATTATTCGTAACAATTTTTTAAAAATTAAATCCAATGTGCGGCGTTATGTAAAAGTTCTAATAATCAGTTTAATATTTTATAGGTTTATACAGTGTGTTCACATTTTTCTATAACACCAAATTTTCCATGCAGATTATTCCGAATTTTCATTCTATTTTTAGGAAGCAATAAGGAGCACTAAATACCCTTTCGGTTTGTACATACGCAATACAAATTCAATTGTTTGTTTATAAGAGCCTTTTGGTACTAGATTCGAATAAGCTTAATTTTTTTTTTTTTTTATGCAACTACAATTGCAAATATGCAAATAAAATTCCTTTAATCTTACAAATTACTTGTGATTTTCCATAGATTTTTCAAAAATGTCAGTAAATTTTCTTGCATTTTGATTTTTTTTTTTTGAAAAATCAAGTGTCAAAAGTAGGTAATAGCATTAAAAAAAAAAAAATTTATATTGCTTATTTTGTGTACCGAAAATGTTACACATTTGACATTTACCCTAAAGTGTGTGTTTCAATTTTCCCGAAAACGAAATTTAAATCCAAGGTCGAAATATGTAGTGTTATCCGGAAACGCGAACTCTTATATATTATAACACGAGTATATTATTATTTATTACCATAATATATAGGTATACGTGAACATTACTTATTCGATATTTTTGTTCGGATAAAACGTCAGTAATATTTTTTTTCTATAATCTCAGATAGGGGCAACATGCTAAAATCGTACGTTGCGTGAAAGTTTAAATATAAGGAAAAAAAAAAACATTCCGAGTTCAATCTAAATTCGAAAAAGTCTATAAATCTTCCGTCTCGTTGTCCCGAGACTCCGCACATAGTGTATATGCACTGTTGCAGTAGTACACCGATAATATATTGTAGGTACAATATTATAATGTTATAAAATAGCGTCTCGTCTATATTATATGATTTAACGTGCGCTTTTCTAATCCCGAATACACTAACTATAGTTATTTCCGTAAATCATGACTTTCACTTATAGGAGAAGTGGTTGTACTATAAACTACTAAGTTAAAAAAAAAAAAAAACTCAATATTTGCAATGCCACTATAATACAACGATGACGTTCACAGCCCTGTATATTATAATATATTGATACGTGCCATTGTTCTTTTAAACAAATGTTATCGATTTCGAAAATAGTATACCTATCACCTACAATATACATCACGCGATTTATGATTTGTCTATGTATAATTCCGCAGTTGTATTCGCCTGTGCCCTCCCCGGGCGTTCCCGCCCATTAAACGAAAAAAAAAGTGAGAGAAAACCTCGTATTCTCCGCGGATCTTGTCTGTTTTTAAAAACCGTTTGATCTGCACGACGACGAACTCGCAATCGCACGTTCTCTTATTGAGAATTTTCAAACGTTCTACGATATTATTATATTTTATGTGAGTGTAATCGTACCTCATTCGCTGCAGAAGTAATCAAAATCTTCTGCAACATCGCATTTTAAAACACGTCATCCGGCCATTTTGTTTAATATTATGACGTGTCATAAGTAGCACAACATGGTTTCGCTGAAAAGGGCCGCGTGATTGACAATAATATTTCGTTCGGAGATTTCGTATTCTGAAATATACTAAAATTATTGTATCTCACAAAATCGAAAATTCATAAATACCGAAATGACTTAAAATAAATCAATAGGTACTAGCTAAAAAAGTAAAAAAAAAAAAAAATAAAAATAAAAGACTGACATCCTTTGCATGATGGGTGGGGGCCTCTGTTATGTAAGTGATCAGTTGAGAAGGTAGGATATAGAGAGAGATTTAACGCACTATATCTGTATGCAATGATTAATCATTGCAAACGAAAAGAGTTTCTGAGCGGAGTTCCGTTAAACATATTTTAAAAGGCCGTAATATTTACGATTTTTGATAAAAATTGATATACGAAAAAAAAATACTACATTAATATCGTTTTTTTCTACAACAAAGTACAACCTAATATAATGAGTCTCCTGTTAAAGTTGCATGCATTTCTGTTTGGTCTAACAATTATATCCACAATATACTTACAGAATAAAAGTTACATAAAAAACTCTCAAAATTAATATGTCTATTAATAGCTCAAAAATGTCCCAAATTTGAATAATTTTACCACGTCTAGAAAAGATAAATATAATTTTTTTTGCCAAGTTTCAAATCTCTACGAATATTTTGAATTTAATTAAACAAAAAAACAAAATTGGACCTAATAAAATCATTATTTTCGTAAAAATCTCGTTTTCCCTACATTTTTTTCCCCGATTATTATGAAAACTGCTTGGAAAATAAAAAAATTACTTTGTTAAAGTATCAATTAGATAAAGTTCCCTTTCAGAAAAGGTGACGGTGAAGACTAATTTTTTTTACACTACATAAAAAACATTAAACATCATAAAATAGGAACTTCTTATAATATATATTTGTATACTTAAAAAACCTCAAAATACACATTTTTAGTCAAAAATTCGTAGTCTATATATCGTAGCTATAGTTTTTAATTATCTGAACGACGGAATTAATTTTACTTTGTCTATAAATGAGGTGTGTTTTCCAGGTTTAATCAGATTTAATCTAAAATTGTGTTCCCGTTCACATACTAAAAATACGTCCAGTAAAACACTTAAATTATTGTTAAGCTTTGTCTATAGTAATCTGCTGTTTTTGTCGAAAATTATTAATTTTAATATCGACGCATCTATATTTCAAAGTAATATCAATTATTTTGTCACTCCTCAGAACTTTCTACGTTTTCATTCCTTTTCCATCCCTATTTGTATTACACTCATTAAGTCCGAGAGTTATTTCTTATCACACTAATCGGTAAAAAGATAACGAGAATTAAATTTCAAGTCGTTAATTGTATTTGGAGATTGAATCTTTATTCAATAAAGAAGGGTTATAAAGTTTTTTTTAAAAAATCCGAATCGTCGCAGACTTCGAGAGTGAATGTGACGAAACTGACTTTACTTTTTGGCAGAGATTTTATTCTCTATTTTTTTTTTATTGTCGGCTATGCTGTTGATAAAACTTTAGTCGAAAATGTGATTTTTTTTGTTTTTGTTTTAAAATCGACACGCTTGTTAAGATTTGTATAATATCCAATTTCTCCACGGAAAAGATATTACCTGGCCACTGCGTTGTATACTTTCGGTAACCGACTTATTGGCGAACGCATGCACGCAATGTTATCATGACGTGTCGCCGATACCGATAGCAGTATATTTTATAATAACAACAATAATATGATATATGTATATTTTTATTTATGTTCGTGTATACTGTTATTATCGTTTACTTGTCGCGGTCGTCGTATCGGTCGTGACGATCTAACCCTACATATATAATAATACATAAACGAGATTTGTTTGATTTACAATAAAAATAAATCGGTACATACGTATTATAATATTATTTGTTATTATTATACGCCTATAGATGGCGGTATACGTTCTTGTATTAAAAAAAAAAAAAAACGTTTTCATTGAATACCTTATGTCCTAATATAATAACGATCGCCTATTTAATATAAACGAATAAACGCGACGACTGATCGACTCCTCGATCGTATCCGTCTAAATTCAATATAATATAATATTATACTACGCGTTCGTGTCCAAATATAAATATCTATAATTGTATAACACCTTTTTTGATACTTAATTGCCGTCATATATTATATAGTTCCAACATACTTGTACATTATAGTTTGATAGTTATGAATTATGTATACTTATTTTGATTTTCAAATCAGAGACGCCATATCAGTTTCTTATAATATGAGACTGAAAAAATTTTACCGCGTCGATTCCCCTCACTGCCAGTTTCGCTAGGTGCTAGAACAATTATTGTTATAAAAAAAAAATTGATAAGGTTTCGATTATTAGCCAAGCCAATTATGGTTAAAAATCGTAAAAGGGTGTAAGTGTATACCCTCCTTTAAAATGATACCCCTATGTCCCTGTTACAAAGACGTGTATACATATATATTTATAGACTTGGGTTTGATATTTATTCATTAAAAAGTTCAGCAAATTGTTTCACGTCAGAAAACGTAGTGGAAGTCGAATCGAAAACGACAATAATTGTCTCGATAAAATTTAATGTTTTTTTTTTTTTTTTTACATTTAATTCTAATAATTATTTATATAATATGAAATTTACAAATTATATTCATTATTCTTATTACTTTAAACGACTGATTGCAGACATTACCCGAGTTGCCTGAGTTAGGTAAAAAAATCAGAAAAAAATAAACATGATTTTCGTATTTTAAGGACGAAACTCATAATGTGTGAGCCACCTTTTAGGGCTTGAGTTTAAGGATAAAAAGTGAACGAGCGTCCTTTTTATTGTTTTGAAGGTCGAGTGTGCGAAATTTCATCGAGATTTGAATGATAAAAAAAGAAATTGTACATGTATAGATTAATAATTTGTACATACATTGCTAAATTATATGATACGTCCATTGTTATACATATTATACATAGGTTTACGAAAAAAAAAATATCAAATTAATATGTAATTTGTATATTGTTGTACGCAGGTGGCGGAAGGATTTGCACGTTTTCACCGTGCATCGAACAAGTGATGCGTACGTGCCAAGTGCTAAAGGACCACGGTTTCATTCAATTGACAACAATCGAGTGTTTGGAAAAGGAGTACCAAGTTTTAAACAGGACCGTTACCACGTTCACCGGTATCCGGCAGCTGCCGTCTACCGATTCACAATCGCAGGTATAATATTATCATACTACCTCTAGTATCTATATAGATTCTATTCAAGAGTTAACATCAAACCGCTTGTACGCAAACAACGCGTCGCTATCACCAATAGAATAACCCCCCCCCCCATCTCTCCCCACAAGCCGTGCTCGTTTCTTGTAATCACGGCGATGGCAGCGATGACGGCCAATCACAGATCATGCGTAACGCCGATTAGGGGTCCGGGCTTCTTAGGTGGTCTATTTTGCATGCGCGAAAGCAGTTCAATTTTATCCAGAATTGAGTATTCAGGACGATATTTTTATCCTTTTATCACGAACCAGCAATTTTCTCGAATTTTTGTATATGAATTTGATTTTTTTTTTAAAATTATTATGGAATTGTCTAAGTTTAAATTTAATACTATTTTAAATGTGTACCCTTATTCTTTATACGTGAAATAAGTATACATTTTGGATTTTTAATCCTAGATTCAAATAAAGAATATTTTTTTTTGTACATTTTGATATACATAATAGTATGAAGTTTAGACCAAATGTGATGTAGAAAGAGGGGAGGTACATAATATGTTCGTAATGTATAATCCCGGAATGTATTACTCCGGAACGTATTAACCCGAAATTTAAAAACCAAACACCGTATTTGTCTGGAAAGCTTGATTACGGAAAATGTTACGCACATCAACATGTTTAGACTAATATTCTCTATTTACTTTTTTAAAATTGTGTGCTTAAAAATTAAAAATGATTTTAAAATAAAATATTAATGATAACAAACAAAACAGAAATCAAAAAATTCACATAAAATCCTTCGAGAAAATTGCTGGTTTATGATAAAAGGAATAGGTACATTTAATATATTGTATTATTTACGATAAATAGCTATAACACCATTTCGTTGTAGATAATTACAGATGATTTTTGAAACATCGCATATAGTTATCACGCAATTTCAACTTAAATTGTTTAAAAACATTCGAAACTACACACCTACTATACATGTAATTTATACACATATGCAAGATGCTATTTTACTTACGCATATATTATTACGTAGGTATCTATGACTTCATAATAATTATTAAAAAATTATCTCTTCTCGATGACGATCGTTATTCGTGACGTATTTACAGTTCAGTAGTCGTGCGGGAATTCTCATTTCTATACCGTATATAGGTATTTCCCAACAACTATACTGAATGAGTCGTTACAATTTTAAATCCGTCTGTTTTCGATGGTACACTCTGTATAGTACGGATCGGTGCGCCGATACTTTGTTGAAACGTTGAGATTTATCGGGCCTGTGAATAAATAAACTATGTATTTTCATACAAATTGGGATCCTTTTATAAAGAGGACTATTTTACAATTGCTAAAAAAAAACTTGCATTTTTCGAACGTATACTTTAAAAAGTGTTTGTTGTGTACATGCGGAACACACGTTTATTTGCAGAACGGATTTGTTAACGATTATTGACAATTTGTTATAATCGAAATCGCGAATTGGGCCGATAAGCCGTGACCGCGTATATATCAACCGCGGCGCGCCGTTCTATGTAGTGATCTGGTCATTTGTAAGACGATTAGTTAAATGCAAATATAAAATTAAATTTGGAATAAAATAACTATATAGGCGGTCGGGCGGGGAGAGGGGGGAACGGAAATTGAAGCGTGTCGACTTATACCTCGGCTGTAGTAAACGAGACGCGGATCCCTTTCCGTGGACCCCGGGGTTCATATTGCTGTAATACTAGTATTGTTAATAATTTGTAATTCTATAATATTAACGACCTGTTGTATGGAGACGTACATCGGTCGGGTAGAGAAGCGGCCGCGGCAGCGTGCGTAGACGGCGAAATAATAGTATAAATTAATATTGTTTCGGCCTGTCGTAATTATATTCGGATACGATAGGAAACAAAATACGTACCTATGCTCATCAAATACTGTTGTAAAAAAAAAAAAAAATATATATAAACATATACAGTGGCTTAGCCAAGATTCGTTTATAGGGGGAGGTTTCGGGGTGGTCTGGGAAAGTTTAGGTGTTACCCCTCCCCCGGATACGCCAATGTATATATATATATATAAGTATATAATGTGTACGAGTCTTATATGTATATATTATGAAGTATATAGGGTGAGTGTTAACCACGGGGTTTATAATGTATACAATTGATTTCTGTTATTTCATTTTCAACCCTCGTGGAATATATATTATTACATATTCAAACGTTATTTTTAGTTTTTGTTTTTTTATTTGCAGGAAATTTACTTTTGGTTCCCAAATTCCGTTTCCTTTTTCAACGAAAATTCGAGAAAATCAACCAAAATATTTTTTTTAAAACATTTGTATACGCTATCAATAATATCGGATATACCGTTTTCAAATTACGTAAAAATTTCTTTAAATTTAGACCGGATACAAGGAGTACATTTTATATCTATTTTTAGATGATTACATTTTTCTGCTCCTCCCTCCGGTCTGAATTTTAAATCGTTATAACCAATGTTTATGGTTTATAACTAGCACTATACTTACCATAACTGGTAACCGTTTTACTGGTTTTGTTTGTTTTTAAGTGTTTATTTCAACACTGAAAGCTTATTAAGTTTGTTTAAGGTCTTAAAATGTAGTTTTTTTTAAAAGCGATGTTTTTTTTTTTTTGTTGATTTTAAGCGCTATAATAGTCGTGCCGAACCCCCTAAAAGTTTATAACTCATTAACGGTACATAAACGGTAAATCCGATATCGTTTATATTATAGCGTTGTGTTTACAAAAAATCTTCAGAAAGATATTTTCTTTTCGGAATCTATTTCGAACGTATCAATACGCGAAACGTTTTGGATGAAAATGAAAAAAAAAAAAAAACAAACAAATTTATCTCGAAATTTTTTCCGAACGGCCGAGATAATAATACGCGTTACGATGGCCGGATCGCGGTCGAAAAAAATCACCCTGTACACGCTCGGTGAGACGCACGCGCGCGCACGAAAGCCAACGCGATAGAACCGGTAACCGCGTATACGGTACGGACCACTGTAATCTGCGCGCACGTATAATGTTATTATATTACGAGGGCCCGGGTCGAGGCGTACGTGTGTGCGCGGCCGGACCGGTCGCCCGGGTAATTTGTTTTCGACAACGGACAAAAACGAAAACGCGGGCGCGCGCCCGAGCCGCGCGGAGAGCGGAACTGGTCCGCGTCAAACGTTATAGTTTTTATCGGGACCGCCTTTACCCGTATAACGTTTGCCCGTACCGGGTATATTTCGCCTACCGCCGCCGCTATACTCGTCTCTCGCGCCCGGCGACGTCCTCCGCGGTGCCGCTATTGGGGAATCGTCCGGATTCTTGCGCGTCCGCGGCGGCGGCGGCCGGTCGCATCGTAAATATTATAATATACCGGCGTCGTCCGACGGCGGCGATCGCGTTGCACACCGTAATCTGTCCGTACGTCCGTCCGTCCGTATTTATAATGCGGCGCGCGTGTTGTTATTATTATTATCATCATCGTCATGATTATTGTTGTGTAGGCGGTACGCGCGCGGGGCTGCGTTCGAAAACTCTCGAGTAGAGAAGAGTAGTGTGCGTATAGGAGTAGAGCACAGCGTATAGAAATCCACAGGCGCTAGAGGGCCTTTAGCTCCCCCTCTCACCCCTCCCCTCCCCCCGAAAAAAGCCAATCGGCTTTTTCATGATGACGACCGAATATTTTATCCGTGCGTTTCTTTGTAATTGACGAGCGGAACGAAATACAGATATATATTTTTTAATGAAGGCTCAGCCGGATAAATCTCAATAAAATGTCTGTGCCAACGCAGCTATCCTTAATCCTTATGTTCCTCAATTCATCTATGATGGCATTAGCATCACGACCACATCTGGTCAACCACATCTGATCAATCGACTCGTGAACAAGTTGAGTGATAAGGTAAGGTCAACCGGTGCCATCGCATATGAATTGAGAAACACAAGGCATATAGTGTTCGTTATCATTAATATCAGCGCATCTCACTTGCAAAATATCGCGCACGGTTATCACTATCTTTGTCACACGGAATGATTGGTCGATTGCAGCAAAACGTATTTACGTGTACTATAAGAAGGTCGCATCCATAATGGGTTTTATATTGTATAATTGTAGTAGAGTTTGTACGTGCGTTACTACTGGTGTTTGTGTGTATACCTTTAAAGTATATTTGATAAAGATCTGGACGGGACTGCGCCTTCGACTGAAACATGGCCTTATACTTTCGCGGTACCTGCACAATTTTTTTTTTTACTGAATTATAACAAAAAAAATAAAATAAAATTGAAAATAATGATACTGTTATTTCCGTAAACTTTCTCGTTTTTTAATTTATTAAAAAAACTAAGTGAAAAACTAAAATCGACTTTATTACGCACAAAAAAAATTTAAAAAATGTATTTCAGAAGTCTAACTTCACTTGAATTTATGACCAAGATTTCTGGTAGAAAAACGAAATCGAAAAAATTTTAAATAATAAAATCGTTAATGCCATAACTTTGACATTTTTTTAATGATTATCCTAACTATTATGAAAGATCATTAAAAAATCAAAAATTGTTTACTTATTTACAAAAAGGTCCAAAACTCCTAAATGTAACGAAAAAAGTATCTTATTTTTTGATTGGAACAAGATTTCTGGAACCATTACATTTCTCGCTACGCTCAGAATCCAAAACCGATCACATCCTAAACATATATTTTCAGTCCCAGGGAAGGTAGTCAATTGTTTGGAATTTCAACTAGGTATAAAAATATCTATCTATAAGTATACATGTATTGCTATCGGTACGTGGTACGACTATAACGTGACGGTACAATCGGGTTTTGATTTTTGGGAGATGTTACACAGTAAAATTAATATTATACTTGACAAAGTACGTTGTTTTGTTCGTTAAATTTTCAGTTAATATATTATCACTGCACTATAGTATATTATTATATGATTTAGATTTCAAATATGTGTTATAACTGAACTTCGTTCAGAATCGTATTTCGTCATAATTTATCATTCAAGTAGGTTTTATATGTATAAACTCGTATAGTTGAACACCAATATGTACCTGCAATTCCAATTCACCGATACTATGTGTAATTTAGATATGATTACCTTTTTTATTTCTCGTCTGTTGTATTTCGTGTTTGATTTTAGGTGCATTTTAACCCTACTGCCAGGTGCACTTGTCGTGAACTTGGCAACCTGTGCAACCTAACCGTTAATTCGCTCAATTCCGTAGGTTATGGATTATTTCATGGCTACCCTGCTATTCTTGAAGGGTATTCCTCTATACGCAATCGTGCAGACGACCCCGATGGTATGTACAATGCTCATGGGTACAGGACTCCTGCAAGTCATCACGCTATGACAAGACGGGACCTTGGACCTTAGGTAGCGCCAGACAAGACGCAATACTATTACCCTGTAACCACCCCAAATTTCATACAAGATTTTTTAACAAAACAAAAACAAAGTCGTAAAACAAACGCCACTGGTTATATAGTACTTTTGCGTGATAATAAGTAATAATGAAAAACATTTTTTTACGTGTTTATGTAGGAAATAATTTTTTTTTTTTAAATATTATGTTCAATTAAAAATAAAATAAAAGTAATATTAATAGCCGTGACGTTGGTCGGTCACCGGATGAGACAAATTTGAAAACGATTTCCATCGGTCGCATATCGCGTTAACATTTCATGAAGTGTGCAAAAAGTATTTATTTTTTTTTTTCTGAAATAGATAATAAAAGAAAATCGATTTCATGAAGTGGCTACGGCATATTATGAACCCAAGAATTTGGCCTCTTTTAATTTTTTTCATATTTGTATGGTTTTTCTGCGTGATAAAATGAACAAATCATTACTACTAATCGTGTTGCCAGCGACAATATGCGAAGAATTTTGACAAAATATTTGCACTGCACGCGGATAAAATGTAATTAACAAAGGAACTTAAGCCAGCGACCACGGAAAACGACGTTAATTCGTTGAACGGATCTGTACGTTTCTATCTCGATAAACACAATCACAAAAAATCATAAAACCGATGCTGTCCAAAAAAAATTGGCGACCTTTTCAAATCCTTCGTTCTTTATTTTAGACGCTCTTTACGTATAGTAAATACTCTTCTTAATAAAAATGCATATTACAGTTACGTACATTATAGGAGGGTTACACTTGCCGTGAACTTGACCGGGAAGGGTCGTAATCGGAAACGCGTGGACCCCGTGCCTTTATTACTCAAGACGCCGTATTAATTATTTTCTACAGGACGTAAACGTAAATTTTATGTATGCATGCGTTTATTTGACCTTTATCGTTGTTGCGGGTTAAACAGTGATAGAATTTTTTGTTACGAACGGTTCCTTTTACTTTTTTGGATTAGAATAATAATATACGTATGTATTGACGTATAGTAATGCCCGTTTGCGTACATATAATTATTATTATGAACGCCATAACGGGATAATAATATATAGGTTATAATATAACGATTCTAAATTTTTTTTTTTTTTCAGGCGACATGACTAAATTTAGACAAAATTGTTTTTTTTTCTCGTTTCGTGTTATTTATTTCGTTTTTTTTTTTTGTTTCTTTTACGGAGAGATTAATGTTTTTTTTTTTTTTTTTAGGGAAATTCACCGTCTGACTCATACAATACACTCGTATATTATAATGTAATATAGTGAACCGTACGACGCCGTTGTCGTCGACGCGCGTATAGAAATTATTTTTCGAAATCCAATCGGGCGACAGTTTGTGACGTGCCCGAAGTGCGTATATAGCGTACCACTTTACCACAATACAGAGTATTGTACGATAACGATTCGATGCGTGTGTATAATAACGTAATACCCGTATAGGCATCGAACTTAAAAATTTACCGTTATTGTGCATTAAAAAAATAAAAAAATTAAAAACAAAACCGTCGTCGTAGTCGTCGTTAATGACAATCGTATCGTCCAAGCGGGTGACATTACATTATTATTATTATATTTTAAAAATCGATGCGTTTACGTGAACGGGTATTATAGGCATGCGTACCGTCGAAAATACTAAGTAGGCAGTCGTTTTAAATAATAAAACAATATAATATAATTTCCTTACATTGTTATTTGTATTTTTTCCCTTTTTCTTTTTTGATCGCGCAGGACGTGTAAAATAATATAATAATAATATTACTACTATGTACGCGAACCGTCCAAAATAATCGATCTTTGTATTATAATTATTATTTTAATGATAATTCGTTCTCGTCATAGCCGTATATACATAACACATTATATGTATACCTGTTATACGAAGACAAAAGAAAGACTAAAAAATATATAATACTTTAAGATTGCCGGTGGTGGTGTACGGTAGGATTGTAATACTGCGCACACGTCATAATGTTTTATACGCGCGCGTAACAATAACGTTTTATTTTTCGTATATATCTATATGTATTTTTTTTTTTTTTTTTTTATCATTCTTTCTCCGGGTAAAGAATGACTACACTTACGACGTGGCGCGTGCGTCCGTATCATTAATTCGTCGTCGTCGTCGGTTTTTAAACATTGTAATTTATAATTTCGAGGAACGGGAATAATATTATCTATTTAGCTGTTTCGACCGATTTCCTATTGTTTGTATCGAATGTCGGTGAGTTTCTTTTCTTTTTTTTCTTTTTTTTTTTTTTAATGTACCTACTTGTATCCGTTGTCCGTTAAACAGTTACCTACAACAATAATATTATAATAATAATTGTTTTAAACCGTTTCCTAGTTTTCTATACTATGTTACCTGGTGACGACGACGGCGGTATCCAATTGACTTTTGTGTAATCCGGTCTACAGTTTATTATAATACTCGTATATTACGTGATGCGATATAGTGTGTTAATAATATTAGAATATTATGATTTTAGGATAAAAATCGCGAGAAACCTTTAACGAAAATTCAAAAAATAATCCTCAAACAACAGGGTTGCGTACCTAGAGTCGATTCTCTCTGCCCACTCAATTGCGGGTTGTATGGAGTGCTGATGAGATAGGTACTACAGCGTCCAGTGTCCGAAATTATTTGCCCCAATCGGTGTGATTTTGTCTTAATAAACATATTTAAAATTAATATACGTTCTTTAAAATATAGTTATAATTTTCTGATAATATAGATGTGGTACTGCAGTGTAAATAGATTATAAACAATTTGTTTACGACAATTAAATACGCCATTGATTATTTTTAATTGTCTAATGCGTTTACATCCCCGTCTGACAAAACAGATCAAACAACTGACTGAAATTCGTATTGAAATATAATTTTGACTGAATTTGGTCTAGCAGGAGCCTATAGAATAATTGTTTAAAAAGTACATGACAATGATAAATTAGACGCAGCAAAATAAATCTCTATTTTTAGAGAAAATTGAACAAAAATCGTTCTTAAATTTATTACAATCGTGTTTTCATCGTTATTCGAAAAAAAAAACAAAAAAAAAAACAGGGCAGGGTCGGTTGTATTTAACTTGGCGTTCTTCGTATTGTATTTTTTTTTTCAAATTCTAAGTGGAACGAGGAATGTCTTGGTTTAACTAAATTATGTGTGTTTTTTTCTATCGGTTTGTCTACATGATTTTTGACCCGAAGTCTTCCTCTAATAAATAAAATTATCGAAATTATCGACCAATATTAGGCCGGCTTTGGTTATGTAGTTTTAGCAACTTAGTTACTAACCTTACCTTAGCAGACAAACTGTTTTGACGATACTATTAATTGCAATCGTTTGATAACTGAATGTTTTTTTCGACAATTTAGTTACCGGAATCAGCAAATAAACTATTTCTGTATTTGGTTATTAGTATATTCATGGCTAGAGTACTGTTTAGTAAACAAAACGTTTTGGTGATATTGTAACCAAGTAGCAATAAATGTTATGATTGGTTGTCGAGAACCTAGTTGAATTTGTACGGCGTCAAACGGCGAAACAAGTATACCAAACCAGGCCATGCATTAATGATTGACCAGATACCTTACAAAATTTCCTTAAATTCTGTCTCGTAAAACCATAATAATTTAAATTTCCTTTTTTTTTCTTTTGTATTTTGTATTTTTCATTCGGTTCTGAGCCGAAAGCACGGATTTTTTGATATCCATTAACTTTCATTTCAAACACGTAAGAAAAATTGGCCTAGGTCTGGTCAAGTGTGAAGATAAAGGGACCGCGTACCAAATCGAGATTCGGTGTCATTTCGATGTACGTATATGAAATGAAAATCGTCTTGCACGCGTGTGAAACGTGTGCACATCAGCACCGGATCCAATCGCAATCGTTTACGGTCGAAATATCCGCGATACTTCTGCAGCGCGCGCACGTACAGCAGCAGTTAAGCAGTTAATAATTTAGCAATAATAATACCTAAGTTTATAATAATAATATGTAATTACGTTATGGTAATATCCCGGAACGTGATGCGACGAAATGTATTATATAAATTATAATATATATTGTTCGGAATATTAGAACCAATGTACAATATAATATTGTAAGTACGTCGGTCGTCGCGGTACCTCAAGGTTCTGCCGATTTCCTATTGAAAATCGCATACCTTTTTTAGCTACTTATTTTTTCGACTTTCCGCGCGTTATTTCGTTGTAACTCAAGGACAACGCATATATACGTACACGCGTATATCTACAATGGCGTATACATACGTACCAACAAATTTTTGTCGGATATACGGTTCGTTTTTTTTTTTTATTTATTTTTTCAATAAAGCGCACTTGAATTCCGTACGGATAGAGACGCGCGTTTTGTCCTTGGCGCGCGGATTCATTATGTTTACAATATTGCGCGTGAGCGTCCCGCGTGTATAGCAGCGCTCCGGCGATGCCTTTTGAATTCAATAACACTAAAATAATCGCCAGAAACGGATCGACGACGACGTCGTAATCGGCGCTCCTTTAGCCTTCTAAGAATATAATAATAATAATAAAAAAAAAATCTAAATCACGCCGCCACCGCAGTGGCTAATGTTTTTTTTTTTTTTTTTTTGAGAGAGAGCTTATTATAAACGATTTGAACGTTATCGGAAATTTTAATCTTTAATCATACACTGTATATCAAATAAAATATGTTACGGGCAATGTGGAATATCTGGAAAAGTGGTTTCGCCCGGACAACGTGAACGGGACATTTTATTTTAAATCGCCTTTTCCGTCGAAAAAATGCAACGTGCCAATAAAGTTACAGCCGGCGTCGGCTACTAGTGGTCCTCAACCGTATATATGTCTGCGAGAGGGCCCTTAGGCCTCAAGATTCATAAAATATCGTAATTCAACTACCAGCTGTATTTTGTGCAAAGATATATACAGTATTGTTGTTTAGTTGACTATTGCAGACTTCACTAAAATATTTAAATATAATATTATTTATCATCAATAATAATTGTATAAACGATTGAATGTATATAGTGTATAGGTATCCTTTTCAGTACTAGAAACTGAAATGTCGCTATCCACCTATTAATCTACCCGTATCGTCACGAAGTTCATTATTATTTTTAGAAGTATTATCGATCGATGAAACCGATTTCCAACCAAATATCACACATGCTCTTTGAATTTTTCATTTATGGAGCCCCTTAAAACAAGTACTCCAGGTACTTGGTGTACCAGGCTGACACTGGTAACAGCCACGCCATTTTATAAAATACGAGCTGAATCACTCGGTATTTCACGGGGTCAATCGTTTCGAAAACATAAATTAATAAAAGGAAACTAATTTAAACTCGTTTAAATTCTTTGTTTCTATTCTTATCCCTATCATAGTTACTTCAAGTTTTGTGTTTACTGGGATTCTGTTTACTGCCATTCTTATTATCGTATCTTCATTTTTGAATATTTCATCTACCATTTTCAGTAAATCGTTAAAATGGGTACAGTCTAATCTCAAAATATTGCGATAAGCTGAAGCGTCTTCGTCTTTCAACTCTTTCAATAAACTGCTCGATGCACCATATCCCGTATCACGTCTGTCTATCTATTGTGTTACCCATTTATTTCTCTGAATTTTCCGCTTTTCTTTTTTTTCAACTCCTTTTTGATAGCATGAGCTAAATGACATCCGCACGTACCATTTCCGTCGACATTTTGTAAACACTGAAACCATAAACGCCAGCGAGTAGCGAGTAAAGTAGCCAAGCTTTCAACTTTACTCGCAGATAGTTTACAATCTGCTAGTTGGCTAGTGAAAATGATTACACTGAGCGAGTTTACTAGCAGATAGTGAATTTGCCAACTAGCAGCTTGTAAACTTGCTCAATGTAACCGAGGCTTTAGTCGTTGTTGCCCGATAATTTATATTTTAAAAATGATACTTCTTTGTTTTTTGTAACCAAATTAAATAATAACAATTTAGACGAGCCCACTCTACGAACGTACTGAGTTTCCGGTTTCTAAACGTATTTTAAACTATAAGACACAATTCCGTGTACAGTTTTTAAATAATTTGGTAACCTAGTACTATTATGTTTCTATGTAGAAACTTAAATAAATAAAAAATCTTAAGTTTTACATAGTTGACATAACATTTTTAAAATTGACTAATATCAATGTAGTATTTAATACTCATTTATCTTTTTTAATAACGGATATAATATATCTGTTTGTCCTTTATGCATTACTACACCATTTATCGCCCTGAAACTTTGAGAAATTGTTCCACGTTGTCCAGAGAAGGCTTAAATCAACCCCTTATTGAATACTATCTACTCTAACGTTTTATTATTTTACATTATATTTATATGATATTAATTGTATTGTTTATTTTTTATCAAGTTTATAATATATACTTCAACGACGGTCAAATGATTTCGTCTTGGGGGAACAAAGTTGTTTTTATATAAAGTGCAATAGTCTCGGAGAAAATTCGACAACATTTGTTATTACGTTTAAAAATCTGAATTACAATAATTGATGATGATATTTGAATATAATTTGAACGATTGAACGAAATAAAATTATATAGTCGTGAAAAATTTATTTGATGTCCTTAAAAAAAAAAAAAAAAACACGTTATTTCCCATACTTAAAGGATTATAGACTTGTATAATGAGGTTTAATCATCGCACAGACTGTTCATATATAATATTATTATTATTATTTTTATATGTGTACATTAACTTATAATAATTTAATACCTATGTACAGAGTGATCAACTTATCACGAATCAACAATGTTCTCTGGGACTTTAAACGAATTCGATTTGTTTTAAAACTATTTTTAATTTTTGACTCTGAATTCTTATACCTTAAACGAGTGCTTACTCGTATACTTGTTATTTTCAAATAAGATTCCTCTTCTATAGACACAGATTTAAATATATAAACATATTTTGATGTGTTAAATACTAATATCTGATTTACCGTTTATGATTTTGAAATTTAAATTGGGGAAATAAGGGAGGTTAATCGATTCAATATCCACTTTTAGATTGTTACTCCACAACCCTTCCCTACCGGTGTAAACGTTGAACTGTTAAATTCTGTGTTATGTGTACCGATTGTTCGAAGGAAAATATTCTCTATTTGAGTCCGTGTCAAAAGTGATGAAAATAGTGATGAAAATAGAGTATAAACGATTCCACAGTGATTGCGAAGTACAGTAGATAATCGAATGCGCTTCAAACCCTCCGAGAAAAATGCCGGTTCGTGATAACTGTATCGCCCTGTATGTACATTATACGTTATAGTCTCTGTCGAACGCGTCGGATTCGAACGCTGCAATATACACGTTATAATACTATACTACGCGGACGATCGCGAATAACGATAATAATAATATTGGACGAGTTTAAAACTTGTATTGGCATTAAGAGTAAAAGAAAAAAAAATAGATTTAATTACCGGCGAAATTAATAATAACATAGTCGCGTATGTACCGTCTCCGGGTACCGGTTATATACCTATACAATATATTATAATAGGTATTACACTCGCAGTAGTATAGTATTATAGGATTATATAGGTATAGCTCGGATCCCATTAGTCCTTTCGACTAATTTTTATGGATTAATTCGTGCCTTCGAAAACAGCGTGGGGAAATTATGTTCCAGTTTCGTATATTATATTATATCCGTGTGTGTGTATATATATTTATATGTATAGGGCGTAGGCAGATATATAGGTATAAACTATACCGTGGTACATGGTTATTTGTCCGGAAATTCGTGTTCCACACGCGACGGAAGAAATTATGTAGCAGGTCTGAATACGTAGAGCACCTACAACTGTATATTATTATTATACGAACATTTTACGAATACGCCCGCGACACGAAAATCTCGTGGAATGTACGATGAGAAATGACGAAAAGTAAAGACGCACATCATACTTCGCACGATGGGTGGGCTGCTGTTGTAGGCGAGAAGTTGCAGGGAAAGTCGGATATACAGAAGAATATAATATATATCTGTTTATCTATAACGATAAACCATTGTTAACGAAAAACGATTCGGAGCAAAGTTCGGTTGTACGTGTTTTTGTACATAGTTGTAATATTTACGATGTTCGTTAAACTTTGATGTTAAAATTCTTATGTATAAAAAAAATATGTACTACATAATTAAACTAATTTTTTCTTTTACCACAAAGTACGACTTAAATAAACCTACTGTTAAATTTGCATACATTTCTGTTTAGTCGTTAGACAATTTTATCTACAGAGTAAAGAATACAAATTACGTGTAAAAAGACTCGCAAAATTAAAATATCTATTAATAGCTCTAAAATGACTAATATAACTTGAAATTTTTACCACGTCTAGAAAAAGCAAATATAAAATTCTGTCCAAATTTAAAGTCTTTAGAAATATTTTTAACTGGATAATAACAAAAATTCAAAATTGAAAATAATACATTTCGTAAATTTTTCTGTTTCTCTTACGTTTTTTCCAAGTATTATGAAAACCCCTAAGAAATTCAAAAAATTAACATTCCTAAAATACCATTTAGATAAAATTTTCTTTCAGAAAAGGTGTCACACTTGATACATAGGAAGGATATTTCTGGTAGAAAAATTGTACACAAAAAAAAAAATAAGAAAATCCTCGCTACGCTCCGAATCTAAAAAATAGTTGTACCTGACGGATGTGCCACTATTATTGTAAGTAGAAGGTTCAAAAGGTCTATGCGCAAGATACAAGAATTCTAGCAAAACATTAATTTTTAAATACGAATTTCATACAAATTTGAACCCCTAAAAGACTTTGACACTAATATGTAAATTGCATCTTCTATCTTCATTTCTATAAGAGTGTTTAAAAGGTAAAATACTCTACCTTTTGCAACAACATGCTGAAACTTATATTGAAATTAATTCCAAATTGTATCATTTTAATCTGCCTATTTAATATAAGCAGTTCTAATCCCCGAGTTTGAACCTTATTTGGTCCGGAGGGAACTGTTAAAAGTACCTGACAATGATAGAAAAACAATATATTAAAATTCGACAAAAACTGTTTTTAAAATTTGGTAAGTTATCAAAAAAAAACCTACGATGAGAATAGGCTCAATTTATAAAGACGTCGATGAATTTTCATTTCTAAACAGCTCGTATTGTAGCGAACTATATTCGAATAAATAACCACAGAAACGCTGTAGAAATTTAGTGCATTAATCCAAAACGACTTTAAAATAAAATCAGTTAACCAGTTAGCCTCAAACACTAAAAAATGGCATTACGGATTTTAAAGTATACCCTCGAACTCTTTAATTGCTGAATGTGCATCCAATTCACTTCCAGAAAATCCTCCTTGTTAACTCCAAAGAAAGTAGTATAATCTGCTGGATAATTAAATTTAAAAAAAAAAAACTATACTTGACACGACGGGTGGGCCACTGTTATAGGTGAGAAGATAGAAAATTAGAGGAGACATTTAAATTTAAGGTGTACAGAACGATTAATCATTGTCAACGAAAAATGATTTTGAGCGGAGTTCGATTATACAGGTTTTGAAAGGCCGTAATATATACAATTTGAACATAACACATTTTGTAAATTTTTCCATTTAATATGAAAACCCCGGGGGAAATAAAAAAATTACCCCCTTGTAAAAATGACGGCCTTGACACGTCAAGAATCTGGAAATTGTTTTCGAATAAACTACTACCGGGCGGGAATTCCGCCCATCGTTTAAGGTGACTTAAGTGGCCGAATCGGAGCATTTTTATAAACCCAAAATATGTTTTCCGATAAAAAAACAAAACAACACACATTAGTGAAACTAATATAGCTTTTTCGCTGTACGAAATACAAAATGATAATAAAGAAACTAAAATCTAACCGGAAACAAATGTATTGCGGTAGAATATTTAGAAATTAAACCAAAAAAAAAAAAAAATAATAATAATAAGTATAGTGGTTCCGGATCTCACTCAGGACTGAGTGGGGAACAAATACAACAAATATGGCTGCCGCCGCGGTAATTCGACATGTTATAGTCACGGTAATTTATATTTCGCGTTAATTGTATATTACGTGAGTACACGCATACATCGTATTATGAGGTCCTTGGCGATACAAGTACACTGTAAGTCCATAGCGCACCGGGTATGGTCCGTTTGTCTCGCGGTTCAAGGATTTTATGTATCCGTATATATATATATTTTATTACTAACTCGGTCAGCTGCCTATGGTCGCGGCATATATAACAATCGGCTAATGTAGACAAGTATTGTCATGATCTTCGAATTGTCGGAGATACAGGTGAGAACCATCAATAACGGATGCGAGGGTGCGTGCAGATTTTATTTTAAAGGGACGATCGACGTAACGTATTAGTCGCGCATTATCTCGCCTATATTGGTAGTGAAACCGCCGCCCATTTTTGAATTTCAAATAATTGCCTATTTTAAAATTTGCATAAATAGATAGAGTTTAGGATAAATAAATTTCGGTGTTGACATCGGTCCGTCGGTCCGTTGACGAGGTAGGTATTCCACTTTGAAGTCTATAAGACAGACGGAGAGTATAGTGTATTCAAACCCCGCACTCCGCGCCGTCAAACGTCATCGATCACTACTCTCCTCCTACCCGTTAATTGACAAACCTAAAAGGTGAACATCTCATCGACGGGTATAAGTATGGATTAAAAATTTTAATATCAAAATGTATTTACATTAAAACTGCACATATTTTGTTTGGTATTTTTAATTGTAAGTTGTTATTTGTAAATCAAAAGTAGGTAATGGTTTCATCCCCGATGAAAATGTGACAAAAAATAACTGTAAAGTAATTTCTTAGAGCTGCTTGATTCTCAATTTTTTTAAAAAAAAGTTCTGAAAAATAAATATTTTCCGATACATCGAGTGTCTTACGTTATTTTAATCACCCGTATGAAAATTATTTCATGGTATATTTTGATTTTATACAGGTGACCAAATACAGAACATGGAGGAAATTAATCGAAAATAAACCCCGGTGTGTTACACAAAACCCCGTCGGGTAGTATTTTATTTCATGTGCACCGTATGCGATGTGTTAATATGTGACCTGGCTGAATTTCCGAAAACGGTTCTTTTAATTTTTCGAACAACTTCCATTCACCGGTGTACGGGCATTTGATATTATTATTTTTATTTCATATGACCATCGGCAATGGTTAACTTGTCGATGTTCGATGTCGATGATTACGCGTTAGTCGATACTGTTCTGCGGTATGAATAAATAATATTATAACTATTGCGTTTAATGGGTGGTTATTGCAGGTCATAGTGACGGATGAAAAAGCTCGGCGGAAGCGTGCAAAAGACAATTTAAACTGCTTGTTAAGCACAAAAAAAAAAAAAAATGTTTAATTAACTTTAGGAAAAAATAAACTGCATACGTACGAATCTCTATGACGGAAATACATATTTAGAACATTCGTTTGTTTTTGCAGAACGCCGCCGCGGAAGAATCGGCCGGGCCCGCCGAAAAGAAATTCGTGGCTTGTGTCCCGTCGGCGTGCCCTCGCGGACACACCGGCTACCTGACCACCGCCACCTATCTGATGGAAAATCCGCTATCGCGACGTTCCGACACCGAGGGCGAAAACAAATGCGAAAATTGAAAACCCCGAAGTGCCACTCACTCTCCGGGCGAAAGACGTCATCTCGTGGTGTATTATTGTTGTTTTGTTTTTTTTTTTCTCCCCCTCCGCGTACGATTCGATACGGGTATTATATCTTTTTGTACATCCGATCGAACCATTGTGTGCTATGGCGCTACATAAAATAAATAAAATGTGATCGTGTACGTATATATATATATATATATATATACACATGTGTGTGTTTGTCGTGTGTATATTTTGTATGTATATAATACCTTATTTTTTTTTCTCTCCCACTTTTAGAAATAAAGGAAAAAAAACGGTAGCGTTGACAATAGAGGTCTGGCGGTTATTTATGGGTCACCTTTCGGATCCTTGCATAAGAAGAAGCGCATTAGCCAATACTTCGGTATTATTGCTAGCTGCTGTCGCTGCTGCTGTTGTAGCTGCAGACTAGATAAAATACTCATATGTATGTATATAATATTATCGTATATATTCCTCCGGCACGGAGGTCTCATAATACACGGAATAGGTCATCTGTACACCGAGATCTCAGCCATAGGGTTAAGGGAATAAACAAGAACAATGAAGTGAACGTTTCCCTTTGTTTCGCGGTTACGTTTTTATACCCATTTTCTCTCGGTTTTGCCGTGATACGCGGCGATTTTAATGAACCCGTATATTTGTCGATTTTCGTCCTCTCGCACGCCGTTTACCTGCACTGCATATTATTATTGCGTTAATCGCACGCGCCCCGGTGCAATATAACTGCACGTGCATATATAGAGCGGATCATGCTTTTACCACAACAGCGCGTATCTCATATCATTATAATTTGATAAAATAAGATGTATTGTTATCGTCGAGAGCACATCGTAATAAAACGAGCGTTTCCGAAAATATCTTATACTATACGTAATTTTTTTTTAAATTTTTTTTTATTAGACTCGCGATTACACCGCAAATCACGAAAACGACAACATACTAATTATGTCGGAACCTGGTGTCTCAGCCAATAAAAAATGATAATAAAATCGAAATAGCCATTCTCTGAATACATCGAGATACTCCACTGGTTATGCATAAGTAACGGTCGCGAAGATATCGTGGTTCGTCGGTAGTCGCGTATTTATCGCATGATGAGTTTTGGTTGTACATTATAGTTGGTATCTTTACCGTGTTGCGCGTTTAATAGTTTTAGATTCTGTTTCGCGAGCGGATCGTTCGCCGACGGGCGAGTATTATAATACAATATACAGGCGCACCGTCATAAATAATAATAATAATAAAAAAAAAAATGCGCGTACGATCTGTATAGTTGTATATATATATATCTATGCGGAGAGAGACAAGTATGTGTGTTGTGTGTGTATATAGGTACCTAAAGGACACCGTGGGTCAATATTAATATCCGCCGTCGCCGTCGTATGTATATCTAGAAAAATACCAGATAAAAAAAATGATGATGATAATAATAATAATAAATAGAAGAAGAAGAGGAGAAAAAAAAATAAGATAAAGATCCCGGCAGCGGTTATGCGCAGCGCTTCAAATTCAGGGTCACGAGGTTCAACCTGCAGACGACGACATGTGAGGTATGCTTATAAACCCCGCGTGCGACGGTTGTGTGTTTATAATATACGCGTACCTATCTATCCGTGTGTATATAATATTAATATAGATATGCATACCATATCGTATATAATAGTATTCGTCCGGGTCGGTAAATACCGCGCTCGCGGTCTAGACCGTATTCAGGTTATTGTTTTCCATCACGTGTATATTATTATGGAAATATTATGTATACGGATGGCCGTCGCCGCCGCCGTGATCGACGAAAGTCGCGCGCTTTCCGTTCGGAAACTGTCCGTATACATTACGAGTCGGTCGGTTTATCGGTAAATAATGCACAGCAGCGGCACAGTTTTACGAAGTAAAAAACGTTGCTCATGAAACGTCCGTTCTGCGAGTCGACCCGGGTAATTCGTACATTATCTACGGTCATCGCGTGGGTTAAGTACACGCTTTGAATACTTATAGTTACTAATAGTTGAATACTTATGCTTTGAATAGTTCGACATGTTTACCCGTGACTCAAAACAGTAAAAATTCGGGCGCACCTAGAGACCCAGCCGGGTCACTCGTTCGCTCGGACTGTTTCAAACGAAAATATCCCTCGATTTGTTATTTACGATTATAGCAGCAGCAGTGCAGTACGAATATTTTATCCGCGACACACCGGCAACCGTTGTAGCCATCAACAAACATCGCCCGAAAACCGTTTCGACTTGATTACCAAACATCGACTTTACTTTCTATAAAAATTTAATAGGCGCGTGTTAAGTATACATAAACCTCCCGGATGAAATTCTCTAAATGATACCGAAATTCGTTGCGCAGTTTAGACTGTTTAGAAGATTTAGGCACACAAACAGACGGTGAGAATGGCGACTTTGTTTTATACTATTTAGAGATTCTACTCGAAACATTCAACGTGTTTGGGTTTTGATTTAGTTTCATCTTAAAATTAAAACTTAAGATAATTAGACGTATTTTTTTTTTCGATTCGTCGGCCTTTTTGGACTCACCTGCGAAACGTCGATGAATTTTTAAAAAAACATTTTGTTTCGTCCCTTTGCGAAATATTTTTTTTCGAAAATATCTTCTGTTAAACGTATATATGTACACTAGTGGTAGGAAAAATCCGGATTTTCAGAATACAAAATTGGAAAAATTTCTCTTAAGGCATATAATAATTGTAATCACAGATCACTTATCAAACAACAATACATACAAAAATATCAAATAACAGTAAATAGCCTAAAAATAACTAGACTGTTTTACAAATTTTACCACGTCTACAAAAGGCCATTATGAGTATTTTTGAAAACTATACAGTTCTCTACAATTTATTATTTAACATTAATAATGTTACATTATAGTTACGCTGATGTAAAATCATGAAATCGTCAAGTCGTAGTAAATATTTGTCCGTTTGTTTTTTCATTTTTTCCCAATAATTTTTAAAACCTGTTGTAAAATCAAAAAAATGATTTCCTTGAAGTGCCAACTAGACTATTTTCGGGATTTTTGGATAATCAGGATTTATATAACATCACTAATATATATATATATACACGTTACACATACCAGACACGGATCCAGAGCAAAGATTGGGGGGGGGTACAATAATTTGTTTACATCACAAATACAATATAAATATAGTATAATATATTATGTATATTATTTTTTCATACATATCAGTGATTGGAATATAGTAATATCAGGGTCTATAGAATTATAAAAAAAGAAACGGAGAAATAACATGACTGGGGAGGGGCCTGGGTCCCCCTCTGAATCCGTCTCTGATACATGCCAATGTATTACTTATATTATCATTATTATTATTTTAATTATTCTCATAAATTATTATTATTATTATTATTACTAGTATACCTCTATAATTATTATTATTTTCTAACATGGTTACTGTTCGTGTGGCATGCTGCATGCACCGCATCAGCCACTGTATACATTGCGATAGTGTTCTCCGACGCGCAACGTTTCGTTAGTCATTCATAAACTGCACACAATATTTTACTACCTGTGATTTCGGGAGATGCAGTTTTGCTCATAATCTCTTACAATATGTTGCCTAGATTTCCTGTACACCTTCTTCACAAAAGATTCGTAGTTTTGATTCAAAGTTCTGAATTCCGAGGCATTGATAACTAAAATTATTAATCGCAAAACTTAAATCTGGGTTATAATCCCATCAAATCGAAATAGATAGTTATTTGGTTATGCATTATACTGACAGATGCTCAACTTCAGCCCATTCTTTGAGTTTTTATCCGTTTAGATACCTATTTCTGAGTATCCCCAGTTATAGCTATAGCTATTAAAGACCATAATCATTATCTGTAAAGGGCTATTTTCAAAATTCTTTGGTTTTTCAAAAACAAAATGTATATTTAGCGGTTTATATATTGAAGTAACTTATTACTGCCTGTAACATCTAAAGTAATTATTTAAAAATTTCCCTTATTGCAATGTTCTGCGCTTTTTATGATCAGTCTAGATTTTTAAAAAATTGCACTTACATATTTTACAATAAATATTTCTTTAATTAATTCAATTCCCATTATTTTTGGACGTGAACTAGGTTTGTCCCAGTAAATTTCTTGTACAAAAAGTGTATAGCAGTCTTTCTCAGCACATAGGGTAGCTATCAGTATTCCCTTACACGTGGAGAAGGCGTCAATATTTTGCGATAGTACAGTTAGAGTAGAGGTATCCTTATTGCCCCCCCACCCCACGGAGAGAAGTGGACATTCATTGATCTCTGGCGTAGTCATTAATCCAGAAGTAGATATAATAATAATATATTATTTGACATTATTTTTAGTCTTATCAATCGTTAATATTAAATTTAATTATTTCGTTTTTATAAGTTAGTTGACACACGTCACTAATAAGGACCACGATATTAACTTGTCATTATAAATTGGAAACCGTTATACCCAACGTGCCCAGGCGCTTTCAATGACAGAGTGTGTAGCAAATATTAATTGTTAAATAAAAATGGGGTACGATTTTCTTCTTTTTTAAACAACCTGACAGCGAAAATTTGAAACAAATCAAGCTTTTCTTTGCGACTTGGCATGCAATATATGAATTTCAAAACTAAATGCCCAAAAAAATACCTATTTATAGTTGCTGTATTAAAATGCCAATGGGTATAAGGTGAGATATTGATCACTAACCATTTCCCCCTGCGTACGACGCTGATTGCAGTACTATAGAATGTTAGCGTTACACACTAGTGTTGCGATAAAGGGACCGAAATTATAGATTCACGATTATAATCAGTGTCACCACACCAAATCGAGCAGTGACAGTAACGCGCGCGCGTAATACGATATAATATGCAAGCGTGAATATCATAATATATTATTATTATTATTATTGTACCTATATAGGTATATATTATAATCTCCGGGAGTCGTAAACAATGCGTGTGTACTTACAAGGTGTAGCAATAATAATAATAATGATCGCTGCAACTGCATAATATAGGTACTGCAGGAGCGATACGGCTACTCCACCCCTCCGTCCTTCAGACGTCAACCCGCCCATAATTTCACAAGTATCGATAAAAACCGTACGCGTAGCGAGGAATAATTAAAAAAAAAAATACCATTTCTAACGCGTTGTGAATTTCGCATCGGAATAATATGATACGGCGATAGGTAAATATAGGTCCTATAGTGTGACCAGACGTGCCGATTTTGGAGGGGTATTAACGATATTTTAGCAGACGTCTCGTTACATTTTTAAGTCTAGTCGGGAGACGGGAAAATGAACTTTTTACTATCGAACGTCCTCTCGCTTTCGTCCCGATTTCATTATTTTAATGCAAACAAATTACAAATTATAAATAAATTAGTCCAATCATATTGAATGCAGCGTAAAAGTTTCTTTTAAAGTCGCATCTTATGTATTTAAAGGGTTGCGTATAGGAAATCTTCTCGAAATTTTGGAAAAAATATTTAAATTTACTTTTAAATACATTAACATGTGGCATTGTTATCAAGTGCTGATTGTTTAATCGTGAAATTAAGGAAGAATGGTTACGAAAAAACCGTTTTGCGCTGTCGAAACTATTCTGGCTATGGACTCAGTTAAGAATAATTTGTTTGCATTTTATCTTGTAATATTAACAAAATAAAACTAACTCTGCTCAACGCGAATTGTTCTTCCGTTTCTATCGTGAAAATGTGTTTCCTGCGCAAAACAGTTTTTCCAGTCGAACTACGGGCGGTAGCATGCCCTTTTATTCACCCCTTATTCGCTACCGTCGTATGCAAAGTGCGGTAAAAACTAGCGATTTTTTATTGTTATTTTTTAATTTTGCTTTTCTCTCAATATAGATTATAGACATTATCGTACCCTACCCCTTGTATAGGTACGCTAAAACGGCGGCGACGGTGGCAGCCCGCAACAGCAGCACCGGCAGCGGATATCTGAGGTCAGTAATCTAGTTCCTTCTCACAGTGGCGCGCGTAATCGGCCACCAACGGAGTAGCGCGCGAGAGTTATATAAAAAAAAAAGTCGCGTATTTTTTTTCTTCAATATATACAATATACATATAGACTAGTAGTACGTATGTGTGTGTGTGTGTGTGTGTTTATATAATATATTTATACACAAGTAAAATACACACATAAAAACACACACGCACATATTATACACACAGGCACACGCAAGCACGAGAAGAGCACACGGAGACCGTTCGTACCCATGTGTGTGTGTGTGTGTGTATGCTTAAGAGGTCAGTGTCACCTGGTGTGGTGCCGCCGCTTAAACCGGGCGCGCGCGCGAGAGAGTCGTGTGGGAGATGGAAATTAGAATATCAGATTCAGAAAATGAGAACAAAACAAACTCTATATCGACTGTTAAAGGTACCTATAATACCTACCTACCTATATATACACTTTTATACAGGTACACGGTGTGTACGTACACGCATATACGCGTATAAATACACACTTATAGGTACGTATACAGTATTATAATAATTGTGTGTTTGTGTATTATTAGTATTGTGTGCGATCGTGTGCCAATATTATTATAATACCCGTGCGTATCCCGTGCACCGCACCGCGTGGTATTGTAGAAAACGAAAACGAATATTATATTTCATAACGCAATAACTGCACTATAGGTGCACTGCAAACTGTATACACCCGTCGACAGCCCGAGAAGAAGTATTGCCTATTCTGCAGAGTTTAAAGAAAAATGATTTATGCCGGTGCATATAGTACCTATAGCGCTTTCGACTTGATTTGACGCGTGCGCCGTTTGCGTGTACCGAGGACAAAAACTCGATCGAACAGTCTAATATTACAATAGCGATGTAATGTGTATCACTTTCGATTTGATCGCACCGGGTGTGCACTGCCGATTTCGGCGGCAATTAAGATTCGGTTTTTCGCACGTTACTTCCATAATACTACTGTAATGGTGAATCGATATTCGATATTCAAATATTTGCTACCGATAACCGATCCGATATTTTGTTGAAACTGTGCAAAGCCGATATTCGAATTATTCGATTTCTTAAAAAAAATCCGATATTCGCTTTTTACCGATATAATTTAAATATATATATAAAATTATAATGGAGTTAGAACGTGTTTGTCAAACTGAGCGCCTTTTTTTTTTTCGGAAAATATCGGGTCTGATATCGGTTTAAAAAAAAACCGATAGCCGATTTTCCGATATTGCCAATATCGGCCGATGCCGGTGCTCACCCCTAGTGATAAGCTTCAATATAAGCGGCTACCAGGAGCGTTAAATAATAGAATATAAACTCAAAGGGTACGTAATCTGGTGGCAGTTTATTGTACCAAAATAAAGTGATAGCTTTGTGATATCTGGACCGTAAATAATATTGTGTAATGCGTCGTACCGTACATGCACACCAGCGACGACGACACGCGAACGAGCATTTTTTTAAACGACAAAACGCATGGCACATTATATAAAATTTACCTACTTAAACAAATATGGTGGCTTTACGATAAACGGTATCAACGTTGCATATAGACGAATTTAGATTCCTGTAGCATTTTCTCGATTATGGGGGTTATGGAATATAAATTTGTTCGGGGGGGGGGGGCTGTTCGATTTATTTTATTATGACAAACGCATGATAATATTAATATTCTATATTATATTGTTTTATCAATACGTGATATAAATTTAAGTTTTCAGACCCATTACAATATTATATTGCTCTTTGCTATTATCTCAACTTGTCGGCGACAAGACAGCAAAACTAAGCGATTCAGTTCCGTAAAACTCACGGTTGCTAAGTCGTTTACTTGCTTATGGATTACCAAAATTGCAAGGACAAATCCCATAGACAATATAACACAAAAAATCTATAAATTTTTACTGTCTTAATTTCGGTATTGTCACTGTTATTTATTGTTATATAACAACGTATAAAATGTTGTGTGTTAAAATAATCTCTCTGTCCTACATACTAATATCAATAACAATAATTCTTATATTATCGGCTGTTATTAAACCTATACTATATAGTGAATCAATAAGACAATTTTGCCAAAATATAAGACGCCAAGTAAAAATTAAATTGTTCAAGAAAGTTATC